TTCAGAAGTTTCCAACACAGGTAAAATTTCATAAAGAAAATGTAGGCTGGCTCTTACTCATTTATGAGTTTTGTGCATGTGTATGTGTATGCATGGGTATGCTTTAGGGATGACATGAAATCAACCACAAAAGTATCACAGAGATATTTATAAAGAACTTTATCTTTCATTTTCCTCCCTCTGTAGTCATCCCTGGTACACCAGGAAGACATAACAGGAAGTGAAACAGGCAGGCATGAAATGAGCCCCCATCCCTCTGTCAGCAGACTAGAATGTAGGGGTGTTCACTGGCAAGTCGCCTGCGAATAAATGGGCCAAGGAGATGAAATGAGAGAAGGACACTCTTAATTTAGCATTTGCATCGTTTATAACATTAACTCCTGAGAAATGCCCTTTTAAGTTGCTTCCATGATGAATTTGCTAAATTTGCTTTTCTTGTTTTAGGTATCACTGGAGTGGGCTCTGAGACATCTGTTGAAACAGGAATTTCCAACACAGGTAAAGTTGAAAGAAAACCATCTCTATGGATGCGCAGATGAAATGATGTTTTTTGTAGGTTGTTCTGGTGAATAACACAAAATCTCTCTTCCCACTATCGCAACTCCCCAGAATTTACAATTCCAAATCATGTCTCAGAGGCCACAATTTCCGCAGAACACGTTGGCACCACTGAAGCTTCATTCACAATAGGTGAGAAGGAGCAACTCATGTCTTTCTTGTTATCACTGATTTTGACACTCATAGCGAGACTAGAGAGAGGAGGATTCTGGAGAGCAGTTTGTATTTACTTTACTAATATACTACATTTTTGGCCAACAAATTCTTTATAAGTTTAGACATTTTTCCAGAAAAGCTACTAATTACAGAGTGCAGAATCATACTTCTAATCCTGGAAGGTAGGACAATTATACTGATTGTTCTGAGTAACTTCTGCTGTGAGATTACAAACATTAGACGCTTTTAGAAGAGGAGGGGGTGATAAAACTTGCTGAGAAACACAGAGGAGCTACAAGAACCCAGGAAACACACCTGCCCTGTGTTAGTGCTTCCTTTTCACAAATGAAGAGCTAAATATTTTCACAACGTCTGGAGTTCTCAGCACACTCATGGCATTCTCAGCAACCACCCCACAGCAGGCACCACTCTTGCATCTGACAGCCAAGACACAGGGAGGAGAACAGGGGAGCATGGGAGAAACCCACATTGTCCTCCTGACCGAGAATACTAGGAAGATTATCACAGGTTGAGAACATTGTCACTTTGGTTGCTTTGGTAATAAAATGGTTAGTAAGAAAATACACAGGGCTCATCACCAGGGAAGAGCTAGGGAAAGTGCTAGTTAGATATAAGTTAGGTTTAGATTCTTTCTAGAGGCAGGTCTGTAGGAAAGAAAGATTAATCACCATGGTGATCCCAGTCCTCTTGGTGTTTCATCTACGACTGGGGTGGCTCCTGACACAACCCTTGCCCCTGGCAGTTCCAGGACAGGTGAGTCTGCAGGTTGGCAGGGAACTCTTCAGAGCTCCTCCCATAATTTGATGTCTTCTCTGGTGCTTGTCTTTTTAAGAGTAATATCTTATTCATTTCATAGTGATTGAATATTTTTCAAATATGTCTTTTCTGTTTTTCTGTCTCTCAGAAGTCACAACTTCCATAGGAGGAAGTACATCAACAAGAGGTGGAATAGCCACAGGTGAGCATTGCTGGGTCATTGCATTCATTTGCCAGTAATATTCAATAAAGACTGTGGTGCGAAATGAATCCATGTGACTGGATTCTCCCATATTGAGTACTGATCAAGAAATTACCATTGTTCATTGATGAAAGATCGGAAACTCAAATTTCATTCTTATTTCCTGTGCTGTAAGCAGATTCTCTTTCCACACCCAAGGCAGTCATCAGTCATTTGATTGACAGTTACATAGGTGATCTAGAGATAGCCCCCATCTCCCTGTTTCAGAACTCTAGAAAAAAAAGAGACTCGATAAGTAAAAATGTCTTTGGTAGATATACTGTGGGAAGGATATTATATGAGAAATACACAGATGTCCTTTTAGCATTCAAAACCCAGTTTACTGACATATTGAATAAGAATATAGATTTTATCAATCTATTTGCTTGTTGCCCATTACCCATTTTCTTAATACCATGGTGGCTTCTCTAGAAAGACTCTGGAACTTGGGAATGACAACACAGGATAGTCCAAAAGCATACTGGGCTGCTACACCGTGGCTGCTCAGACGACAGGCTCCTAGGGCTGCATAACCCTGTATGCCTTCATACTGCAGTCTTTATTGTTGCTTTATTTTCTCTCAGAAGCCACAGGTTCCTCAAGAGGGGTCAGGACCACTGGATCAGAAGCTCCAGGAGGTAAGCTTCATCAGTCCCAGGCTTCAGAATTCTCATCCTTGCCCTGTTGTGGGGTGCTGAGGTGAACACATAAATGAGAATGAGGGCCAAGGAAAGACAATTACTTCTTAACTGGAAGCACAACATGTATTCTGATCTTCTGAGTTGTTCTGCTAAAGAATTTCAGAAACTGGTTGTATTAGTTTATTCTCACAGTGCTTTAAGGAACTACCTGAGACTGGGTAGTTTATAAAGAAAACAGGTTTAATGATGGACAGTTCTGCAGGCTGTATGGAGGTGTGGCTGGGGAGGCATCAGGAAACTTACAATCATGGTGGAAGGCGAAGGGGTAGCAAGTACATCTTCACTTGGTGACAGGAGAGAGAGAGTGAAAGAGAAAGTGCTACACACTTTTAAAGAAGCAGTTCTCGTGAGAACTCACTATCACAAGAACAGCAAGGGGGAAATCCAGCCTCTATGATCCAATCAGCTCCAACCAGGTTCCTTCCCCCAACACTGGGGATTATAATTCAACCTGAGATTTGAGTGGGGACTGAGAGTCAAACCTTATCACTGAGTTATCTAAGTCAGGCATTGCTCCATTTCCTGTGTGACAATTTTAGTACTCTGGACACCTGGCTGAGGCCCACTGACCTGCAGCAGCCTCCTCAGAACCCCCAATTCTTTCATTCTGCCCCTCATGATTCCAAAGTACTATCACCTGCTGACATCTATTGAACATATTTATTATACTTGTTTATTTTCTGTGTTCCCTCTCCCACAAATGGAAATCTCACAAGGCAGAGACCGTTGTCTGTTCTTTTCACTGAGAAGAGAATGTCAGGTACAAAGGATTGCTTACAGCATATAAGATGAGTGACAAGTATATGCTTATTTTGAGTGTCACTCTGTTTACTTCAACAGCTACGACCATGGTTTCACCTGTTGCCAGCAGCAGTTCACAGGGTCCCAAGCCAGGTAAGATGAACTACTTAAAATCACCAGCGGGAGGTATAAATATCTCATGGAAGTATATTATTATACATCCGATTATCACAATATTGTCAATTACACAAACAAGAACATTTAGAATGTTCAAGACATTTTTCCTCCTCCAGGAACACCAGGAAACTACATCACTGAAAGTGAAGTTAGTAAAGTGAATTTAAGTATCTTTCTTTTTTAAATTGAATTTAAGCTATTACTGTTTTTGAATAAGCTGCAGGGGAAAGGATAATCTGTAGCAAATCATCTGTCAATAGTTGGGGAAAAATTATTCATTGTTAATTTCCTTCGGAAACTAGAGCTCTTAGGAAAGGTCTTCTAGTGGTTCAGGAACCCACTGATGATTCCAGTATTATTTGTCCTATTAGCTCCTTTATTTTTCTCTTTTTAGGTACTTCTGGAGAATTCTCTGGGACAACCATTTCATCTGGAGGCTTCCACACAGGTAGTTGAATGGGAATGAGTTCCTCATCTGGAATGCATGATAACTTTGCAGAGCTGCAATAAAAAACTAGCACTGTGATAGTTTTCCACAGTATCTCAGATTCCCCAGACCTCTTTATTTTCTTCTTTTCTCAGAAGCCACAACTCTCACAGGAGGTAGGGGCAGTACTGGAACTGAATCCAGAGCAGGTGAGGCAGAGCAGCTCATGATTTGGGATTTACCGTGAATCATGACTCTCATAAGCATGACTTGTTTGGAAGTGGGCTTTCCTACAGAATATTTTGCATTTATTTCTGGACAATGCATCTTAGCACAAATAGTTCTGCCTTTAAATTAAATATTTTCCCAAAAATTTACCAATATCCTATTAGAAGTGAAATGTCTCTTGTAATTGTTCTGAGAAATTTCTCCTGTAATGTTGTATGTAAGTATGGCCAGTATATTAGTAGGAGTAAAAAACATTTGTGATCCAGGGAAGGAGAGATAATGTAAATGAATCCTAGAAATACTTGTAAATAGAGGTTTCCATGCCCTAAAAACAATATAATTATTAGTGCTTTCTTGACATCTCAAATTGCCAGCAAACTTAATTTTTTGTGTTTCATTCCTGGCAGTAAATTGGTGAGTATGGAAAATTGTGTCTCTCCCTCTCATGGAATCTATATTGCTTCAAGCTGAAGAACTGGCCCCTCTGATTGCATTGAGAATTAAATGGTTCTGCAGGTTAACAGGGAACTCTTCAGAGCTCCTCTCATAATTAGATATCTCTTCCGGTGTTATTGTTTATGAGAGTAATTCCCTATCTGTTTCATGACCTTTGAATATTTTCCAAATATGTCTTTTCTGTTTTTCTGTCTCTCAGAGTCCACAACTTCCCTACAAGAAAGTGCAAAAACAAGAGGTGGAATAGCGACAGGTGAGCATTACTGGTTCATTGCACTCACTTGCTAATAAGATCCAAAAAAGCCTGTGGCTTGAAAAGTATCCAGACTCTCATTTCTCCCATATTAACATTGTTAGGAAAGTTCCTACCATTTTTCACTGACTAAATACAGAATCTCAAATTTCATTCTTATTTCTTGTGCTTGAACAGACTCTTCTATTGCCCCCCAAGGTAATCATGCAGCCATTTGACTGACAGTTACATAGAAAATCTAGAGTTAGCTTCTATCTCCCTATTCATGAAATCTTGAGAAAAGGAAGCCTAATAAGTTAAAAAAAATTGGGTAAATAGACCATGGGAAGAATATTATCTGAGAAGTGTACAGATTAGTTTTTGGCATTTAAAGGCCAGTTTGTTGAAATAATGAATAAGTATACAGCCTGTGTCCATTTATTTGCTTAATACTCTTTTCTCACGTCATAGTAATGAGGTAATGACCCCCCATTGCCCCATCCCTTTCTTAATAGCTACCAATGGGGCATTCTCTGGAAAGACTCTGGAACCTGGGAATGGTAACACAGGCAAGTCAAAAAGCACACAAGGAATGCTACACCATGGCTGCACAGGTGTAACATAACCTCCTAGGGTACTAGGGTAATGTAACCCTGTATTCCCCATACTGCAGACTTCATGCTTGCTTTCTTTTCTCTCAGAGGACACAAGTTCCACAGGAGGGGTCAGAGCCACTGGAACAGAAGCTCCAGGAGGTAAGGTTCACCAGTCCCAAACCTCAGGGTTCTCCTCATTGCCCTGTTGTGCTGAGGTGAACACATAAATGAGAATGGGGGCTAAGGAAAGGGGGTTACTTCTTGTCTAGAACACAACATATATTCTGACTATCCTGAGTAGTCCTGCTAAGGAATTCCTGCCACTTGGTCATCTAAGTTAGGCATTGCTTCACGGCCTGTGTGACAGTGTTAGTTCTCTGGACACCTAGCTGAGACCCACTGACCTGCAGCAGCCTCCACAGAACCCTGATTCTCCCCACTCAGGCCATCATGATTCCACAAAGCACTATCACCTGTTGCCATCTCTCTAACATGTTTATTACACTTCTTGCATATTTTCTATTTCCTCTCTCACAGACACAAATCTCACAAGGCAGATACTTTGTCTGTTCTCTTCACTGAGAGGATGATGTCAGGCACAGAGGAAATGCTTACAAAATATGAGATGAGCGACAGGCATATTCTCATGTAGAGAGTCACTGTTTACTTCACAGTTTCACTTGGTGTCAGCAGCAGTTTATTGGGTCTGAAGGAAGTCAAGGAGGCTACTTAAAACACCATGGAAATGTAAAAATACCGACATAAGTGTATTCTTAAATACCTGATTATCACACTATCACCAGTTATACAAATAAGAACATTGGAAATATCAAAATGTTTCCTTCTTTTTCTCGCTGGAATGGCAGGGAGCCACATCACTGGAAGTGGAATCAGTAAAGTGAAATTAAGCTTCCTTCTTTTTTTTTTTTTTTTTTTTTTTTTTTTTTTTTTGCTAGGGTGCAGTGGAAGGAATAGTCAGTGTGAGAACATTAAACAATAAGTTCACAAAAAATTATGGTGTATATTTTTTCTAAAATAGAAGTTTTCAAGAAAATTTTCCAATGGTTCAAGACCACAGTGCTGATTCCAGTACTGCTTGCTCTGTTAGCTCTTTATATTCTCATTTTAGGTACCTCTGGTAAATTCTCCGGGACAACCATTTCATCTGGAGGTTCCCACACAGGTAGTTCAATGAGAAGGAAATCTTCATTTTGCGTGCATGATAACTTTGTAGAGCTGCAGTCATAAAATAGCGCCTCAATGTTTTTTACTCATATCTCAAATTCCCCAGACCTCATGATTTTCCCCTTTCTTTCCTCAGAGGCCACAACTCTCGCAGGTAGCAGGGGCAACACTGAAAGTGAATTCAGAACAGGTGAGGAAGAGCAGCCCACAATTTGGGAGTTACCATGAATCATGACTCTCATGAGGATGACTTGCTTAGAAGTAGGCTTTCCTACAGAATATGAAATATGGATTTACAGACAATGTAACTGAGGCCAAATATATTTTTTAATTTAATATTTACCTATAAATATCCTAAAATCCTCTTTTTGAATGGGTTGACTCTTCTAGATGAGGTATAAATGGGATGTAATTGTTTTGAGAAATTTCCACATAATATAATGTATAAATATTTCCAGTGTAATAGTAGAGGTTAGAAAACAGTTTTGATTCCAGGAAGTAGAGATAACACAAATGAACTTTAAAAACATGCCTGTATAGATGTTTCCTTGCCTCCAAAGCAAGAGACATAATTATAGTATTAGGTCAATGGGGAGCAATTAGGAGTAATTAGTTCTGGTGTTTTGTAGCAGTGAGGTGCCTATGGTCAACAATATTATGGTGTACATTCAAATATCCTTGACAAGAAGGTTCTGAATGTTCTGCCCACAAAGCAATGATAAGTGAGATGAGGGATAAGCTAAATATCATGACTTGATTATTACATAATATATACATATATCAAAACCTCCCATACAACCCCCAGAAATATGTATACTTATATAAAAATTAGAAAGAAAAGTAAAAATAGATTAAATTATCATGAAATAAAGAATTTTTTGTCTTCTAGCTCTGGCAGTGTAATGGGTAAGTATGAGAGAAAACCACCTGTTTTGCTGTCATGGAATGTCAGGTGTAATCTCCAAATTTTGCCCCTTTGACTGCATTGGTAGTTTATTAATGAATGGGAAAACACATCAGAGTGGCAGCCAGAGAAAGTGACCTTTGACATCTTAAAGATGTAAACAGATTCCTTCTAGAGGCAGGTCTTCAGGAGACAAACAGGAGTCACTGTGGTGATGCCACTTCCCCTTGTGTTTCAGCCACCACTGGGGTAGTTCCTGCCACAACTGTTGCCCCTGGCCGTTCCAAGACAGGTAAGTCAACAGGTTGACATGGAATCTTCCACGTGCCCTCCCATAATTAGACATCTCCTTTGTATTATTTTTTGCAGGAGTAGCACCATATCTTCTCCACAATCCTTAAATATACTCCAGGTAACTCTTATCCCTTTGTCTCCCTTAGAGGCCACCACTTTCCTAGGAGTAAGTGGAACAACAAGCGTTGGAAGAGCCACGGGTGAGTGCTGCTAGGCTAAGACCTGTTATTCCTAATGACACCTTCAATAGTCTTCTGAAAATATCTGCATGATTTGTATATGCTATATTGAGAAAATTCATAAAAAAGACTAGACAGTCTCCTTATTTCCTGAGCTTACAAAGTCCCTCACTAAACCATCATGATGTCAAACCAATGACAGATAAATAAGTAATATGGGGAGAAAATTCTTATCTTTCCCCCAAAGAGAAGGACATGATAGTTGATAACTGTCTCAGTAAAATTGCTGTGGAAAGAAATGTTGCGTGGGACAAATATGAATTTCTTCTAGCACTGTGAGTTCAGAGTAATAGTTTGCTTCTAAGTGGGGATTTGAGATTCCTATAGAAACCAAGTGGAAATAGAGTTCAGCTAGTGACACCATCTCTTTCTCGTTGTAGGTATTACTGTTGTAGTCTCTGGAAAAACACTGAAACCTGGAAGTTACAAGACAGGCAAGTCTGAAAATACATGCAAAATCTGGACATGGGCACCTTTGTTGACATACTCTGCCCACAGCGCCGTGTGTACTCTCTCAAAAACTAGTCTTCACTCTTTCCTTTCTTTTCTCTCTCTTTCAGGGGCCACAACTTCCATGGTAGGGGGTGACACCAGCCAAGCAGAACGTCCAGGAGGTGAGTTTTTTACTCTGAGGCCTTGGTGCTTTTATCAAATCCCTGTTCTCTGCAGTGAAGACATTGATGTGAAGGTGGGCTGAGGAAAGGGACCCACATTTCCTCTGGGAACAGAGCATGCCAGAGTCACAAAGCTGGTTGTGTCTAGGAATTCCCTGCACTCATCTGGCTTATCCCTCTGGATTTCTAGCAGCCCAGGCTTGCAAAGCTAGTTATTATGTAGCAGGGATAAGGCAAGCTGCTGGATACCCCCCACCAATCAGGGCATACAATTTGCCTTTTATACAATTTGCCTTTTTCCCAAAGTGTTTACTAACATCTTTCACACTGACTTATTTATTATATTTCTTGTTCATTACTGGCCTCCAGCTGCTAGAATGTAAGGTGCATTAGGAGAAAGATCTTTGAACATTTTGCTGACTGATACATCCTAAGGTCCTAAACAATATTGCACAGAAGAGATGCTTAATAAATATTAGTGGAATGATGAAATAAATTATTTTGAAGTAGTTCATTCTATTTAATCGGTACAATTATAGTTTCACCGGAAGTCAGAATTCCAAGCCAGGTAGAATAGATTGAATAAAGTCATCACATGGCAATATTAGAGTTAGAGAGTTCTTTTTTAAACATGTGAATATCAAAATACCTCAAGTAATTGATGAGAAATATTCATAAAGATAGACGATAGTCTGCTTTTTTCTTCTTAACACATCATTGTCACATCAGGGAGCCCAGCTTCTGGAAGTTCAACAGGTGAGGGGGAGATAAAGTCTCCTTTCACATTCTCTGGGATCTATGGAAAGGGAATCCCAGAAGCAACAATGTTCAGTTGAGGGGCAAAGAAATAAAGGGGTAGTCATTCACGGTTCCTTTCCTTCCAAAACACATGTTCTTAGGAAAGGCCTCTAGTGGTTCAGGATCATATAACTTCTTTTACTATTCTTTGCTCTATTAGCACCTTCACTCTTCTCATTTTAGATACTTCTGGTGAATTCCCAGGAACAACCATTACATCTGGAGATTCCCACACAGGTAGTTCAACAAGAAGGAAATCCTCATGTTGAATGTATGATAACTTTTTAGAGCTGCAATCATAAAATAACTTTTTCCTTGTATCTTCAATTCCTTACACTTCTTGATTCTCTTTTTCCCGCAGAGACCACAGCTGTGACAGGAAGCAGGGGCAGTATTGGAACTGAATCCATAGCAGGTGAGCAGCAGGCCATGATTTGGGAGTTATTTGAATTACGACTTTTATTATTATGACTTGTTTAGAAGTGAACTTTCCTGCAGAACATTGTGCATTTTTTTTTTTAGGGAAAATGAATCTAAGCCTGAAGAACTTTTTTTTGCATTTAATGTTTTTTTCTTTTTTTAAATACACACAAATTACCAATAGTGTCTTTTGAATGTGATGCCTCTTGAATTTGTTTTGAGAAATTTCTCCTATAAGGTTATAAACACTTCCAGGGTTTTAGTATGAGCTTAAAACAGTTTTGTTCTTGGGAAGTAGAGACAAGGTAAACGAACCTTGAAATCATGCCTGGTAAAGGTTTCTATGACCCAAAGCAATACAAATAATAATTATTTTATGAATGTCTAAAATTCTCATTAAGCTTAATTTTTTTAAAGTAAAGCCAATGAATATGGGAGGAAACCACTTGTCTTCCTCTCATGGAATTCCAAGACTATTGCCACATGTTGAGAAATTGATCACTCTTACTAGTTTGATAATAAATTTGTTAATGAGAAAATACATCTGGCCTATCATCAGGGAAGAACCAGAAAAAGAGTTTTTTGGATATAATGATGATATGCTTAGATTCTTTCACCATAATGACCACAGTCCTCTTGATGTTTCATCTACCACTGGGATAACTTCTGGCACAATTCTTGCCCCTGGCAGTTCCAATACAAGTGAGTCTACAGGTTGTCAGGAAACTCTTCAAGGATCTTTACAGAGTTAGACGCCTCATTTGGTGCAATTCTGTCCATGAATAATATATCTGTTTCATGGCCTTTCAATATTTTCCAAATATGTCCTCTCTGTTTTTCTCTCTCTCAGAGACCACAACATACATTAGAGGAAGTGGGACCACAAGAAGTGGATTAGCCACAGGTGAGTATTGCATTCACCTGCCATTAATACCCCCAAAGGATTACAGACTGAAATGTATCCATGCTAATCATTTCTCCAATACTGAGGATTATTAAAGATAATCTTACCATTATTCATTGACTGAGGTTTCAGATTCTCAGATTTTGTTCTTATTTCCTCTGCTTTGAACAGCTTTGAACAGAAGCTGTGAGATAGAGTTAGCTTCTACCTCTCTAGTCCTGAACTCCAGAAGAAAGAAAGCCCAATAAGTAAAAAATTACTTGGTAAATATTTTGTCACATGTATATTTTATGAAGAATATGCAGATTACTATTAGACATAAAAAGCCCAGTTTATAGCCGGGCATGGTGACTCATGCCTGTAATCCCAGAACTTTGAGAGACCGAGGTGGGAGGATCACTTAAGCCAAGGATATTGAGACCAGCCTGGGTGATATGGTGAAACCCTGTCTCTACAAATAATAATAATCATAATAATAATAATACAAAAATTAGCTGGGCATGGTGGCATGTGCTTGTAGTCCCAGCTACTCGGGAGGCTAAGGCTGGAGGATGGCTTGAGGCCAGGAGGTGGAGGTTGCAGTGAGCTGAGATTGTGCCATTATGCTCTAGTCTAGGTAAGAGTGAGACTCTGTCTCAAAAAAAAAAAAAAAAAAAAAAAAAAAGAAAAAGAAAAAACAAATCCCAGTTTACTGAAATAATAAATAAGTATGCAAACTGTGTCTCTTTATTTGCTGATACTGTCTGCCCACTTCATGGTAATGAGGTACTGACCCGTGACTACTCTTTTCTTTCTTAGTAGCTACCACTGGGGCATTCTCTGGAAAGACTCTGGAACCTGGGAATGACAACACAGGCAAGTCCACAAGCACACAGGGAATGCTACACCATGCCTGCTCGGGTGACAGGCTCCTAGGGTTACATAACTCTGTACTCCCCATACTGCAGACTTCATTCGTGCTTTCTTTTTTTCTCAGAGGCCACAAGTTCCACAGGAGGGGTCAGGGCCACCGAATCAGAAGCTCCAGGAGGTAAGCTTCGTCAGTCCCAGATCTCAGGGTTCTCCTCATTTCCCTGTTGTGCTAAGGTGAACACATGAATGAGAATGGGGGCCAAGGAAAGGGGGTTACTTCTTGCCTGGAAGCACAACATGTATTCTGACCATCCTGAGTAGTCCTGCTAAAGAATTTGATTCACTGGCTTATGTATGTCAGGCATTGCTACATGACCTGTGTGACAGTGTTAGTTCTCTGGACACCTGGCTGAGGCCCACTGACCTGCAGCAGTCTTCTTGGAACCCTGATTGTCCCCGCTCTGCTCATCATGATTCCACAAAGCACTATCACCTGCTGCCATCTCTCAAACATATTTGTTATACTTCTTGTTTATTTCCTGTGTTCCCTCTTCCACAAATGTAAAGCACATGAGGCAGAGACTTTCCTCTTCTCACTGTCAGACACAGTGAAAATTCTTCTAGAATATGAGGTGAGTGACAGGCATATTCTTATGTAGAATGTCACTCTGGTTACTTCAATTGGTACCAACACAGTTGCCCTTGGTGTCAGCAGCAGCTCACAGGATTGCATGCCAGTTGGCATAGGCTACATAAAGACACTAAAGGAAGCTATAAACATCTATGTGTTTATTCTTAAAAACATGATAATCACAGGATTACCTGTTCCATAAAGGAAAACACTTAGAATGTTCAAGACTTTTTCTTGCTCCTAGATCACCAGAGAGCCAAGTCACTGGACATGAAATCTGTAAAGTGCGATTAAACTTTCTTCTTTCTAAATAGGCTGTGATGGAAGAAGTAGTCAGTAGCAAAACAATAGTCAATGCATTGGAGGGAAAACCATCATGGTTCATTTCCCTCTGAAACAGAGAATCTGAGGAAAGGTCTTCCAGTGGATCAAGACAGCATTGCTGTTTCCAGTGTTGTTTGTCCTATTAGTTCATTTCCCTCTGAAACAGAGAATCTGAGGAAAGGTCTTTCAGTGGATCAAGACAGCATTGCTGTTTCCAGTGTTGTTTGTCCTATTAGCTCCTTTGCCTTCTCATTTTAGGTACCTCTGGTGAATTCCCAGGGACAACATTTACATCTGGAGGTTCCCACACAGGTAGTTGAATGGGAAGGAAATCTGCATCTTGAATGCATGATGACTTTGTAGAGCTGCAGTCGTGAAAGAGTGACTCAATGCTTTTTACCAGTATCTCCCAGACCCCTTGATCCTATTCTTTCTTTTCTCAGAGGCCACAACTTTCACAGGAGGCAGGGGCAGTACAGGAACTGAATCCAGAGCAGATGAGGATGAGCAGCCCATAATTCGCATGTTACTATGAATCTTGACTCATTAGGATGACTTGTTTGGGAGTGACTTTTCTGCAGAATATTATGCATTTATTTAGGGATAATGAATCTTAGGCCCAGTAGAACTTCCTTTAGATTTTATAGTTTCTAAAACTTTGCCAATAGCCTCTTTTATACTGGGATATCTATTGCATTTGTTCTGAGAACTTCCTCCTGTGAGGTTACATAGAAACGTTGCCAGGGTATTACTAGGAACTATGAACAGTTTTGTTGTAGGGAAGAAGAGAAAACTTAAGTGAACCTTAGAAACGTTCCTAAAGACTGGTTTGATGACTTAGAAGCAAGAGAAATGTTTAGTATATTCTTGATGTGTAAGAGTCCCAGGAAAATTGTTTTTGTCTTCCATATTCTGGGAAGTAAAATGGTAAACATGGGGACCACCACCTGTCTCCTGATGGAAGACCAGAAATATTGCCTTAGGTTGAGGAACTCGACCTTCTGATTGTTTTGCTAGTAAAATGGATAACGATAATTATACAGGGTACCACCTCAGGAAGAATCAGTGAAAGTACCATTTATAAATAATTCAGATAGGCCTAGATAGTTTTTAGAGGCAGGCCTACAGGAAAGGGAAATGTTGATCATCATGGTGATCACACTCTTCCTTGTGTTTCAGCCACCACCAGGGCAGCTCCTGGCACAACTCTTGCCCCTGGCAGTTCCAACACGGGTGAGTCTGCAGGTTGCCAGGGAACCTTCAGAGCTCCTCCCATATTTCGATGTTCGATGTCTCCTCTGCTGCTGTTCTTTCAAGAAGTTGCATCATGTTCTTTTCATGGTCCTTAAATATTTCCTAATATGACTTCCCTGTTTTTCTGTCTCTCAGGGGCCACAGCTTCCCTAGGTGGAAGTGCAACGACAAGAGGTAGAATAACCACCGGTGAGCATTGCTGGGTCGTTGCACTCACTTTTAAAAAATATCCATTAAAGGTTATTGCTTGAAATATATGCATGTCACATATTTTTCCACATGGAACATTGTTAGGTAAAATCTTACCTTAAGATTAAGTATATCAGGTTGGTGCAAAAGTAACTGCAGGTTCGCTATTGAAATTAATAGCAAATCAGACACTCAAAAATAGCAATTCAGTGATAGCAAATCACAAACTCAAAATTTAATTTATTTATACACTTTAAGCAGACCGTCCCACTCGTTCCCAAGGTAATCATGCAGCCATTGGATAGTTATGTAGAGAATCTAGAGTGATAGCTGCTAGGAGCCTCTTCCTGAAATCTAGATAAACGGAGACGCAATAAGTTAAATTCCTTTGGTACTATACCGTGGGAAGGATATTATATGAGGAGTCTATGGATGACCTTTTGGGATTTAAAGCCCAGTTTCCTGAAATATTGAATAAGCATACAGATTTATCCATTTGTGAGGTTGTTATTCTCTGCCCACTTGATGATGACAAGGTACTGACCCGCGACTACCCATCTCTTTCTTAATAGCTACCACTGGGGCATTCTCTGGAAAGACTCTGGAGCCTGGGAACGACAACACAGGCAAGTTCAAAGCCACACAGGGAATGCTACACCATGGCTGCTTGGGTGACAGGCTCCTAGGGTTACATAACCCTGCACTCCCCATACTGCAGACTTCATTCTTGCTTTCTTTTCTCTCAGAGGCCACAAGTTCCACAGGAGTGGTCAGAGCCACTGGGTCAGAAGCTCCAGGAGGTAAGCTTCATCATTTTCAGACTTTGGGGTTCTTCTCACTGCCCTGTTGTGCTGAGGTGAACACATAAATGAGAATGGCGGCCAAGGAAAGGCGGTTACTTCTTGTCTGAAAGCACAATATGTATTCTGACCACCCTGAGTAGTTCTGTTAAGGAATTTCAGAAACTGGGCCATCTAAGTCAGGCATTGTCCCATGGCCTGTGTGACAGTGTTAGTTCTCTGGACACCTGTCTGAGGCCCACTGACCTGCAGCAGCCTTCCCGGAATACTGATTCTCCCCGGTCTGCTCATCATGATTCCGCAAAGTACTATAACCTCATGCCATCACTCAAACATATTTATTATACTTCTTGTTAATTTTCTGTTTTCCGTAAATCAAATGTAAATCACATGAGGCAGAGACCTTTCTTCTCACTGACAGGACTATCGGGCACAGTAGAAATGCATCTAGAATATAAGAGAAGTGACAGGCATATTCTTTTTTTTCTTTTTTCTTTTTTTTTATTACACTTTAAGTTCTAGGGTACATGTGCACAACGTGCAGGTTTGTTACATATGTATACATGTGCCATGTTGGTGTGCTGCACCCATTAACTCGTCATTTACATTAGGTATATCTCCCACTGCTATCCCTCCCCCCCGCCCTCGCAATAGGACCTGGTGTGTGATGATCCCCTTCCTGTGTCCAAGTGATCTCATTGTTCAATTCCCACCTAGGAGTGAGAACATGCAGTATTTGGTTTCTGGTTCTTGCGATAGTCTGCTGAGAATGATGGTTTCCAGCTGCATCCATGTCCCTACAAAGGACACGAACTCATCCTTTTTTATGGCTGCATAGTATTCCATGGTGTATATGTGCCACATTTTCTTAATCCAGTCGTGATAGGCATATTCTTACGTAGAATGTCAGTCTGTTCACTTCAGTAGCTACCACCACAGTTTCCCTTCCTGTCAGCAGCAGTTCACAGGATCCCATGCCAGTTGGCATAGGCTACAGAAAAACACTAAAGGAAGCTATAAATGTCTCCTATGTGTTTATTCTTAAAAACATGGTAATCACAGGATTACCTGTTCCACAAAGGAGAACACTTAGAATATTCAAGAGTTTCTCTTGCTCCTGGAACACCAGGGAGCCAAGTCACTGGACATGAAATCTGTAAAGTGAGTTTAAACTTCCTTCTTTTTGAATAGGCTGTGATGGAAGAAATAGTACCAAAAAAACAAAACAAAACAAAAGAAAACAAACAAAACAAAACAAAACAAAAAAACAAAACAAAACAAAAAAACAGTAGTGCATACATTGCAGGGAAACCTATTCATGGTTCATTTCCTTCAGAAACAGAGATTCTGAGGAAAGGTTTTCCAGTGGATCAAGGCAGCATTGCTGTTTCCAGTGTTGTTTGTCCTATTAGCTCCTTTACCTTCTCATTTGAGGTACCTCTGGTGAATTCCCTGGGACAACAATTACATCTGGAGGTTCCCACACAGGTAGTTGAATGGGAAAGAAATCCTCATCTTGAAAGCATGATGACTTTGAGGAGCTGCAATCACAAAATAGCAACTCATGCTTTTTACCAGTGTCTCCCAGACCTCTTGATCCTATTCTTCCTTTTCTCAGAGGTCACAACTTTCACAGGAGGCAGGGGCAGTACAGGAACTGAATCCAGAGCAGGGGAGGAAGAGCAGCCCATAATTCACATATTACCAGGAATCTGGACTCTCATTAGAATGTCTTGTTTGGGTGTGGACTTTTCTGCAGAATATTATGCATTTATTTAAGTATAATGCATCTTAGGTCCCACAGAATTTTCTTTAGATTTTACTGTTTATAAAACTTTACCAGTAGCCTCTTTTAAAGTGAGATTTCTGTTGCATTTGTTCTGAGATGTTTCTCCTGTGAGGATACTTGGAAATGTTGCAAGGGTATTACTAGGAACTATAAACAGTTTTTATCTAGGGCAGAAGAATTAACTGAAATGAGCCTTAGAAACATACCGAAATAGTGGTTTTCAAACCTCAGAAGCAACAGAAATGTAAAATATATTCTTGATGCGTAAGAGTCCCAGGAAAATTGTTTTTGTCTTCCACCTTCTGGGGAGTAAAGTGGTAAACATGGGCGCCACCACCTGTCTCCTGATGGAAGACCAGAAATATTGCCTTAGGTTGAGGAACCGGACCTTCTGATTGTTTTGCTAGTAAAATGGATATGGAGAAAATATACAGGACATGACATCAGAGAGGATCATGGAAAGTACCATTTATAAATAATTAAGGTAGATCTGGGTAGTTTTAGAGGCAGGCCTACAGGAAAGGGAAAAGTTGATCACCATGGTGATCCCACTTTTCCTTGTTTCAGCCACCGCTAGGGCAGCTCCTGGCACAACTCTTGCCCCTGGCAGTTCCAACACGGGTGAGTCTGCAGGTTGCCAGGGAACCTTCTGAGCTCTGCCCGTATTTCGATGTTCGATGTCTCCTCTGGAGCTGTTCTTTCAAGAAGTTGTATCATGTTCATTTCAGTTTTATTGAATATTTCTTAATATGCCTTTCCATTTTTCTGTCTCTCAGGGGCCACAGCTTCTCTAGGTGGAAGTACCAAAACAAGAGGTAGAATAACCACCGGTGAGCATTGCTGGGTCATTGGACTCACTTTTTAATAATATCCATTAAAGTTTAATGCTTGAAATGTATGCATGCTACCCATTTCTGCAACATTGAGCATTGTTAGGTAAAATCTCACCTTCATTCATTAATTATATTAGGTTGTTGCAAAAGTAACTGTGGTTTTGCTATTGAAAGTAAGAGCAAATCAGGAACTCAAAATTAGCAAATCAGTAATAGCAAATCAGAAACTCAAAATTTAATTTCTTTCTATACTTTAAGCGACCCTCCCACTAGTTCCCAAGATAATCATGCAGCCATTTGATAGTTATATAAAGAATCTAGGGTGGTAGCTGCTAGGACCCTGTTCCTGAAACCTGGAGAAATGGAGACTCAATAAGTAAAAGTTCCTTTGGTACTATACCATAGGAAGGATATTAAATGAGGAGTATATGGATGACCTTTTGGGATTTAAAGCCCAGTTTCCTGAAATATTGAATAAGCATACAGATTTATCCACTTTGAGGTTATTCTTTGCCCACTTGATGATGACAAGGTACTGACCCACGACTACCCATCTCTTTCTTAATAGCTACCACTGGGGCATTCTCTGGAAAGACTCTGGAGCCCGGGAATGACAACACAGGCAAGTCCACAAGCACACAGGGAATGCTACACCATGGCTGCTCGGGTGACAGGCTCGTAGGGTTACATAACCCTGTACTTCCCATACTGTAGATGCCATCCTTGCTTTCTTTTCTCTCAGAGGCCACAAGTTCCACCAGAGGGGTCAGGACCACCAGATCAGAAGCTCCAGGAAGTAAGCTTCATCAGTCCCAGCCTTCAGAGTTCTCATCATTGCCGTTTTGTGCTCAGGATAACACATAAATGAGAAACGGGGCCAAGGAAGGGGCTTAATTCTTGTCTAGAAGGTCAACATGTATTCTGGCCAACCTGAGTAGTTCTGCTAAGGAGTTTCAGACACTGGGTTATCTAAGTCAGGCATTGTCCCATGGCCTGTGTGACAGTGTTAGTTCTCTGAACACCTGTCTGAGGCCCACTGACCTGCAGCAGCCTCCCCAGAACCCTGATTCTCCCTGCTCTACTCATCACCACTCTGCATAGCACTATCACCTGCTGCCATGTCTCGAACATATTTATTACACTTCTTGTTTATTTCATGTTTTCCCTCTCCCATAAACGTAAATCACATGAGGCAGAGACCTTTGTCTATTCTTTTCTCTGAGAAGAGGATGTCAGGCACAGAGGAAATGCTTCCATAATGTGAGATTGGTGACTGGTATATTCTTATGCAGAGTGTCACTATGTTTAGCAGCTACCACCACAGTTTCATTTGGTGTCAGCAGCAGTTCACAGGGTCCAAAGCAAGGTAGGATGAACTACTTAAAATCAGCAGGGGAAGGTATAAATATCTCATAGTAGGGCATTGCTCAGCATCTGATAAGCACAATATCGCCAGTTACCGATATGAGAACATTTAGAATGTTCAAGTCTTTTTCTCTTTCCTGGGAGCACAAGGAAAGCACAATATTTGAAGTAAAATCAAGAAAGTGAAGTTAAGCTTCCTTTTTCAGTAGAGTACAGGGGAAGGGATAGTCAGTATAAAAACATTAGTAAGTTGGCAAAAAAATTATTCGTGGTTCATAATTTCTGAAACAAGTTTTCAAGAAAGGTCTTTCAGTGTTTCAGGACCACATTGCTGATTCCAGTACTGCTTGCTCTATTAGCTCCTTTACTTTCTCATTTTAGGGACTTCTGGTAAATTCTCTGGGACAACCATTTCATCAGGAGGTTCCAACACAGGTAGTTCAATAAGAAAGACATCATCATCTTGCATGGGTGATAACTTTGTAGAAATTCAGTAATAAAATAGCAACTCAGTACTTTTTACCAGCATCTCAAATTTCCTAGACCTCTTGATTCTTCTCTTTCTTTCCTCAGAGGCCACAACTCTCACAGGAGACAGGAGCAGTACCAGAAGTGAATCCAAAACAGGTGAGGATGGCAGCGCAAGATTTGGGAGTTACCAAGAATCATGATTTTCAGGATGACTTGTTTGGAAGTAGGCTTTCCTACAGAATATGAAGTAGTTTATTTAGGGGCAATCTGTCTAAGGACAAATATATTTTTTAATCTAATATTTTCCTTAACCTTTTAATATACACTTTTCAAATGGGTTGACTCTTCTAGTTGGGGTGTAAATGGAATGTAATTGTTTTGAGAAATTTCCCTATAACATTATATTGAAATATTTTCAGCATAGTAGTAGGAACTAAAAGCAGTTTTAACCCTGGGAAGTAGAGGTATATGAATCTTGGAGTCATGCCTACATAGATTTTTTTGCCCTAAAGTGATAGAAATAATTAGTAATAAGTCAATGGGGACAAAATCACAATTAGATAGCAGGCATTAGTTCTGGTGGTCTATAGTGTAGTGGAGTGCCTACAGTAAGCAGTATTATAGTATATATTTGAAAATACCTTGAAGAGAGATGTATCAGTCCATTTTCATGCTGCTGATAAAGACATACGTAAGACTGCATAGTTTATAAAGAAAAAGAGGTTTAATGGACTCACAGTTCCACGTAACTATGGAGGCCTCACAATCATGGTGGAAGGCAAAAGGCATGACTTACATGGCAACACGCAAGAGAGAGCTTGTGCAGGGGACCTCCCCTTTATAAAACCATCAGATCTTGTGAGACTTGTTCACTATCACAAAAACAGCAGGAGAAAGACCCACCCCCATGATTCGAATATCTCCCACCGGGTCCTCCCATGACACATGTGAATTGTGGGAGCTACATTTCGAGATGAAATTTGGGTGCGGACACAGCCAAAGCAGATCAAGAGGATTCTAAATTTTCTTACCACAAAGCTATGATAAATGTCAGAGATTATGGTTATGCTAAAGACCATGACTTGACTATTCTGCAATGTATGTACATCTATATCAAAACCTCGCACTAGAAATATGTAAAATTATATGTCAATTAAAAATGTAATTAGAAATAGATACAATTATTATAAAGCAAATGTTTTTTGTCTTCTATTCCTGGCAGTGAAATAGGTAAATATGGGAGAAAACTGTCTGTCTCGTTGTCATGGGATGTCAGCTATAATGCCCCAACTTGGTAGTTTATTAATGAATGGGAAAACACATCAGAGTGGCAGCCAGAGAAAGTGACCTTTGACATCTTAAAGATGTAAACAGATTCCTTCTAGAGGCAGGTCTTCAGGAGACAAACAGGAGTCACTGTGGTGATGCCACTTCCCCTTGTGTTTCAGCCACCACTGGGGTAGTTCCTGCCACAACTGTTGCCCCTGGCCATTCCAAGACAGGTAAGTCAACAGGTTGACATGGAATCTTCCACGTGCCCTCGCATAATTAGACATCTCCTTTGTATTATTTTTTGCAGGAGTAGTACCATATCTTCTCCACAATCCTTAAATATACTCCAGGTAACTGTTATCCCTTTGTCTCCCTTAGAGGCCACCACTTTCCTAGGAGTAAGTGGAACAACAAGCGTTGGAAGAGCCACAGGTGAGTGCTGCTAGACTAAGACCTGTAATTCCTAATGACACCTTCAATAGTCTTCTGAAAATATCTGCATGATTTGTCTATGCTATATTGAGAAAATTCAGAGAAAAAGACTACACAATCATTATATTGCCTGCTTATTTCCTGGGCTTACAGGGGCTTTCATTAAAGCATCGTAACATAAAACCATGACAGATAAATAGGTAATATAGGGAGAAAATTCCAATTTCCCCGCCAAAAAGAAGGACATGATAGTTAGCTGGGAACTGTCTCAGTGAAACTGTGTGGAAAGAAGTATTGCACGGACAAATACGAATTACTTCTAGCACTGCAAGTGTCAGAGTAATAGTTAGCTTCCAAGTGGGGATTTGAGATTCCTATTCAAATCAGTGGACAAACTGTTGAACTAGTGACACCATCTCTTTGTTATTGTAGGTATTACTAGCGTAGTCTCTGGAAAAACACTGAAATCTGGAAGTTACAAGACAGGCGAGTCTGAAAATACATGCAAAATCTGGACATGGGCACCTTGGTTGACATACTCTGCCTGCAGCACTGTGTATGGTCTCCCAAACCTTAATCTTTGCCCCTTCTTTTCTTTTCTTTCTCAGGCGCCACAACTTCCATAGTAGGGGGTGACACCAGCCAAGCAGAACGTCCAGGAGGTGAGCTTTTTACTCTGAGGCCTTAGTGCTTTTATCAAATCCCTGTTCTCTGCAGTGAAGACATTGATGTGAAAGTGGGCAGAGGAAAGGAGCCTGCATTTCCTCTGGGAATATAACATGCCAGAGTCAAAACCTGGGTGTGCCTAGGAATTCCCTGGCCTCACCTGACTTATCCCTCTGGATTTCCAGGAGCCCAGGCTTGCAGAGCTAGTTATTATGTAGCAGGGATGGGGGTGAGCTGCTGGATAACCCCTGCTTATCAGGGTCCCTGACCCTTTTATACAATTTGCCTTTTTCCTAAAGTGTTTACTAACATCTTTCACACTGACTTCTTTGTTACATTTATTGTTCATTGTTGTCCTCCAGCTACTAGAATGTAAGGTGCATTAGGAGAGAGGTCTTTGAACATTTTGCTCGCTGATACATCCCAAGGGCCTAAAACAATATCACATGAAAGAGATATTTAATAAAGCTTAGTTGAAAGGTGAAATGTTTTATTTGAAGATTTTTTCACTCCACTTTCTTTAATAGGTACAACTGTGGTTTCAGCTCGAGTCAGCAGCAGTTCACAGAGCTCCAGACCAGGTAGGAAGGACTAAATACAGTCCTCATATGCTAGGATTAGAGTTAACAAGTTCTATTTTCAAATTCTCAGTATCAAAACGCCTGAGGTAATTGATGAGTAAAATTCAGAAAGATGAATGTCATCTGCTTTTTTTTTCTCCTGAAGGTACCTCTGTCACACCAGAGAGCTCAGCATCTGAAAGTGAAACAGGTGAGGAGGAGATAGGGTTCGCATCCACATTCAGTGTGCTCTATGGAAAGGGAACCCCAGTAGCAACAGTGATGGATAGGTGGGCCAGAACATGAAGTGGTAGTCGCTTATAGTTTATTTCCTTACAAAATAGAGGCTTTCAGGAACGTTCTTCCAGTGGATTAAAGCCACATAGCTACTTCTACAACTGATTTAGGAGGTAATGCCATGTTGATCCCTTTCTTTTTCCACTGTTAGTTACTACAGAAGAATTCTCTGGGACAACTGCTATATCTAGAACGTCCCACACTGGTAGGTTGATAAGCAGGAAATCTCCATGTTTAACCATATAATCTAGTTTTAGAGCTGCTTTGATGAAATACCAACCTCATTCTTTTCCCAATATCCCAAATTCTGATCTCACCATTCATCACTTCCTCCCCCAGAGGCCACAACTTTAATAGAAGGCCGCAGCATTCCTCCATCTGGATCCAGCCCAGGTGAGAATGAGCAGAGCACAGCTTAGGGTTTAGCATCCATTGTGACTCTCCGTAGGCTCATCTTTTGGGAGTGTGTTTTCCTGGGTAGTGGTTTGCATTTACTTTCAGTGTTTTCTCACACTGAACATATTCTGGAAAACTCTTAAAACCAACATCTAGCACCACAGCTGTAACTTTCTAAAGAGGGGCTGGTGGTGCAATCAGCGTGAGAGATTTCTCCTGCAAAGTCATACATACCACTATGGTGTAGGGGAGCTGGAAAACAGTGTATTTCTGGAAAGAAAACAATATAAGTTCTAGAAGCAGGCATACCCTATATAAAAGTTTTCTCACTCAAAAAAGCAATAATGATGTGAAATATTTTCCAGTGTTCTTGGCACATGAAAACATTGTTCTGGTTTTCATCCCATGGCAGGCACCACGGCAGCCTCAGGAGGCCAAGCAACTGGGAGCCTGACCAGTGAAGGGGAGAGAAAACCACCCCGTTTCCTTGTCTGGGAGTGAATGTATGAAATTCAGTGGAGGGACCTCAATTTGGGCACATTACTATTTCCACTGCTTTGTTAATGCTATGGGTCACAGCAAAGGCATACAATTCTCAGTTCATCAGGAAGCAGTGAAAGGGCTCTTTGATATAACAAAGATACGCCCAGATTCCTTCTGGAGGCAGGTCTTCAGAAGACAAACACAAGTCACTGTGATGATCTCAGACCCTTTGTGTTTCAGCCACCACTGGGGTAGCTCCTGGCACAACTGTTGCACCTGGCAGTTCCAACACAGGTGGGTCCCTGAGGTGGCACATTCCTCCACGAGTCCATCTATGACAAATTCTCCTCCAGTGTTACCCTGGGTAGGAGAGCTACCATAGGTTTTCCATGGTGTTGAAATATTGTTCATCACTTCTGTCCTGTTTTCCTCTTTCTCAGAGGCCACAACTTCTGTAGGAGAAAGAGAAACAACAAAAGCTGAAATAATCACAGGTGAGCTCTGTTAAGGTATTAACTATTCCTGAAACCTTCCCAAGAATCTGGCCTGAAATACGTAAATACTTTTTGAATTCCCCAGAATTGGCATATTAAGGAAAATCTAACAGATGTCCAACATTTGACATCAATAAATACAGTACAGACCTTTCCAATTTTCCTCCTTATGTCTTGCACCGTGGGTCTAAGGATCCTTCAACACAGCATCATGAGACCCATTCCCTGACAGTTACATAGATGATTTGGGCCCAAGTGTACATTGCTATCATTAAAACGTAAGAAAGGGACTAGTGGTGGAAGACTTTCTCTCAGAACAAATCACAGTAAACTTGCTCAGGGAATGATATGTTCCATGGGCAAAGTGTGGATTCACTCTCAAAACTAAAGTCCAGAAAAATTAATTTCCTGGTATATTAAAGAAACAAACATTTAATTTGTTTTATTATTAAGAGTCCATGTCCGTTAAATTAAGGACCACAAATTAACCAATTACAATCCTTTCTAATTTCAGGTACTACTGAGGGCATCTCTGGGAAATCTCTGGAAGCTGGAAGTGCCCACACAGGTCAGGAATTCTGAATGTGGCCTCTTGGGCAATACAGCTTATGGGAGGCTCAGAATGTCCTGTGCAGCCTTTTTTTTTTAAAAAAAATTATTTTTTATTTTATTTTTCCATAAGTTATTGGGGTACAGGTGGTATTTGGTTACGTGAGTAAGTTCTTTAATGGGGATTTGTGAGATTTTGGTGCACCCATCACCTGAGCAGTATACACTGCACCCTATTTGTAGTCTTTTATCCCTTGCCCCCTCCCACTCTTCCCCCTACCAAGTCCCCAAAGTCCATTGTATCATTCTTATGCCTTTGCGTCCTCATAGCTTAGCTCCCACATATCAGTGAGAACATACGATGTTTGGTTTTCCATTCCTGAGTTACTTCACTTAGAATAATAGTCTCCACTCTCATCCAGGTCACTGCAAATGCTGTTAATTCTTACCTTCTGTTCCTTTCTCTCTCAGAGGCCACAACTTTCCCAGGAGGCAGTGGGACCACTCAAGCAGGACCACCTGGAGGTGAGCTTTTCAGGCAGAGGCCTGAGGCTCTCATCATCTCTCAATTTTGGTGGCTGCACTAACAAATAATATGAAAGCATTTGAGGAGAAGTCAGCATTCTCTGAGGCCATATTATGTCATAACAGTCTGAAAAGTTATTCTGCTTATAAATTCCATGACCTCAGATGTCTCAGCCAGGCTATCTCCAGTATCCTAGCCTATGGAGACATTTTTGTCTGATATGAGGATTGACAGTATATTACATGCATTCCAACCCTCCAGGACTTCCAGTCTTCCTTAGCCAGTTTACCTTTCCACCCACAGCTTGACACTTTCTTTTCTTTTTCTTTTTCTTTTACTTTAAGTTCCGGGATATGTGCAGGTTTGTTACATAGGGATACGTGTGCCATGGTGGTTTGCTGCACCTATTGACCCATCCTTTAATTTGCCTTGGCATGTGATGTTCCCCTCCCTGTGTCCATGCGATCTTGTTGCTCAACCCCCTACTTAAGAGTGAGAAGAAGCGGTGTTTGGTTTTCCGTTCCTGTGATAGTTTGCTGAGGATGATGGCCTCCTGCTCCATCCATGTCCCTGCAAAGGACATGATCTCATTCCTTTTTATTCAGCTTGACATTTTTCTACTTTAATTATACATGATGCTTATTTTCTGTATCCCCTCACTAGAAAGCTTCATAAAGTCAAGTGATTATTAAAATGCCCTCAAGTTGTATGAAAGAGTTCTACTTATAAAGATAAAACCATGCTTTGTTTCTCCTGTAGGCACTTCTGTCACAGCAGGGGGCTATGTCTCTGGAAGGCAAACAGATTTAAAGGACTATTCTCCCCTTGCCTTGTAGTAAAAGGGAAACCCAGTAGCCACACATCTATCCCATGTTGGCCTGGAAAACCCAGTGCTAAGCAGCTGTTCATTTTTATTCTATAGAAACAGTGTACTCAGGAATGGGCTTCCAGTGCTTTCGGGCCACATTGATGCTTCCAAGCTTAGTTGGGGAGATAATACTCTATAGTTTCATTTTCCTTTTTTGCATTTTAGGTACCACTGGAAAATTATCTGGAACAACCATTATATCTGAAACTTCCACCACAGGTAGTTTAACAGGAAGGAAATGCCTCTTATTTAATGTCACATGTCACAGTATCTCTTTTAGGACGGCTATGATAAAATAACACCCCCAAATCCCCTCCAGTATTCCAAATTCCCAGACTTCACTATTCTACTCTTCCCCTCAGAAGCCACAACTTCCACTGTAGGGAGTGGCACTAGTGGAACTGAACTCAAAACTGGTGACAATAAACAGCCCATACTTTGACCTCATAAGGATTAGTACTCTCAAGCTTTCCTTGAGAGAGTTGTGTTTCATTTAGAGACATTGCAAGTAATTCAAAATAGGATTGCTGTTATTTATTTGTTAATTTATTTGGAAAAACTACCAGTCCTAGAATTGAGCCTCCCTTCACCAAGTTGGATGACAGGATGGGATTTTTCTATTGAGTTACAACTCTCACCAGCATTTGAGCTGGAAACCAGAAAGTTTTCTGTGTGAATGTGCATGAAGTAGAAAAGAGCCTCATGGAAACAGGGAGCATGCATCCATAATTGTGTAGCTAACAATTGGCTTGTCCAACATTTTCTCCTATATCTGAAGTTTCAACACATTTAAACCTTTCTTCCCTCCTCTTTCTATCTCACAGCAGGCATCACTGCAGCAACAGGGAAGCAAGCAGGTGAGCATTGGGAAAATGCATCTAGTTTTTCTTTTGTCAAATTTTCAGTTGTGTTTGTACTTGAAACACTGTCTCTCTATCTCCTTTATTATGAACTGTTGAAAGCAGTAAATACATTAATTTTTCCACCTTCCTTGTGCTCAGAGAAAGAGATTTCTGTTATGGCAAATGCATACAGAAACACAGCATATCCCTTTTAGATTCGGGTCCTCATTTGACTTACTCATTCACTGTGATCACTTCAGTTTCTTTGTGTTTCAGGTATCTCAGCGGTAGCTCCTGCCACAACAGTTGCCCCTGGAAGTTTCAGCACAGGTGAGTCTACCATGTGGTGGGGAATCCTTTCATGGGTGCTTTGCTACAGTAACATGTCTTTCCTTTTGGTGCTTCTATGCAGGAGCTCCACCATTGCATTCCATGCCCCCTGAATCTTTTCCATTTGTGTCTTTCTTCTCCCAGCAGTGACAGCTTCTCCTGAAGCAACAGGAGTGACTGGCGTTACAACTGCAAGTAAGAACTGACAATCCACTACCTCCTTCCCAGTAGGTCACATTGCCTCAATCACATCTACCATTTGTACTTCCTGTGAAGAGCATTTTTGTTGGGAAAAAACACAATTCCAAATAGGCAAGATTTTACCAATACGTAAATGTCAGACACTCAAATGCTTTTATCTTCCTTTCCTCTGCTTCAAGGAGACTTCACCATGGAGCTAAGGCACTGAGCATCAGTTGTGTGATTGGAGAGAAAGGTCTTTCTTTCCCTCGGTGATATATAAAGGAAATAATAGCCACTAACATTTTCCTCATTAAATATTCTATAGAAATTGTGCGTGCAAAACATAAAGATTAACTCCTGGTCTAGAAACCTCTGAAAGAGCTTGCTGACACATTAACAAAACAGAGTTCCCTGAGCCCATCAAAGGTCGTTTTCTTTTCATTATGTGTAAAGAATAAAAATATTGATTCCTATCACTCTGAGTTCCAATGTGGTAGCCACTGGCAAAACTTTTATACATGAAAAGTCTAATACTTAAAGCAATAAATAATGATGATTATAGTAATAAGCACGTTGATCATTTATGAGTTCCTTACTATATCTACTTTTTTAATTAGAGGTTTACATATCTTATTCCAATTAAGAAATACCTAAGGTCCAATTAAGAAGATAAATTTACAAGTGATGTATCTCTTGGTTTTAACAATTAAACTTATATATTTATGGTTTTCATTACTTTTAAAGTCAGAAGGCCTTCTTTTCTGACTTAATAGAAAGTGTCCAGACATTTTGAATTGAGGTTATCTCATATAATGACATCAGCTTAGCTCATCCCTCTTTCTTAATACGCAATTAATTTTGGTTTTCTTCAAGAGACCACAACTTCCCTAGGAGGAAGGGACAGCCCTGGAGCAGAAATAAAATCAGGTAAAGACTTTGAGGTATTTATGTTTATTGTTGTATTTTGATAAATTTCATAGAGGAAATTTTTTAATGAGTTTTTAATTTGGAAATAAATTGAAATTGCAGAAAATTATCACAGATAATGTGGAGAATCCCTTTAGTATGGAGTGTGGTTTTAAATTTCCTTTGAGGCTATAATATTTCAAGGAAACAGAGTTTCTTCTTGGATTTGAATTTGTAAACTCTTGAGCCCAAAGTTCCTAAAGTCTTTCCCTTCGGGAGACTAACCTCAGAGTTCTAGGTTGCTGGAGAGGAGGGTTGCAATAATAGCTCTGGCTTTGAAGTGGTTTTCCCTTTGAAAAGAGCATAGTCTGTAAAACATTAATGTCCTGTTCATAGATGAAAATTTAAGATTTTCTTTCTCCTTTCCTCTTCTTTCCTTCTCCTCTTCTTCTCCTAATCTCTTTTCATGTGGAGCCACCACTGGAGCACCAGGAAGTAGGACAGGTAAACTTGGGGAAAGCCTTTCATAAGACCTCCAACACTGGCATAATAATAATCATTATGATGAAGGCAGGGATATTGCTTACTGCATTAACCTTGACCTTGTAAAGAAACACAATGAATCTGAAACATGGTTGTCCTTATGTCAGTTATAAGTCCAGGAAGTGTTTTTTCTTGCTTCAAAGTCACAAATAGACCTACTGTTGGCCACATGTTTCTAAGGGTCACAAAAGAGTTCCCATGTAGATCTTTCTCTTTTCTTTCCTACCTAGGCACAGCTGGAGTGCTCTCTGCTACAACAGTCTCCCCTGGGAGCTCCAACTCAGGTAAAGCACCAGACTGGGAGGAACCACTGCTTGGAAAGGGCTCCTCAATGAGGTGTCTGCTTGGGTGATCCTACCGTGTTTTTTCAGATACTTCTAATCTTTGCCCTCACTGCTGTTCTTTGTCCCTGTTTTGCAGAGGCCACAACTTCTGTAGGAGAAAGTGGAAAAACAGGAGCTGAAATAATCACAGGTGAGCTCTGCTAAGGAACTAAGTTTACTTTGTTATAATTTCCCATGTCTCAATAGAAATATGGCAAAAGTTTTTAAATTTTCTATAGTTGGCATATTAGGCAAAAATTTAGCAGATGTTCAATATTTAATGTCAATAAATATAGTTCAGATACTTCAACATTTTCCCCTTATATCTTTTGCCTTGGGTCTCAGAACCCTTCATCCGGGCATCATGGGGCCTATTCCCTGATGGTTATATAGGTGACTTTGGCCCAAATCTATCTTTCTGGACCGAAATTCTAAAAATAAAAACTCAGTGGCAGAGGACTTTCTCTGTAAACTTGCTGAGGGAATTATATGTTCTATGGACAATGCATGGATCAACTCTTAAAAATAGAAACTCCAGAGTAATAAATTTTCTGTTTTATTAAAGAAAAGATTTTTTTTTTTTCATTAAGAGCCTCTGCCCATATCATGAGGAGCAATAAACTGACCAACTGACCTCAATCCTTTCTTTTTTCAGGTACTACTGAGGGCATCTCTGGCAGAACTCTGGAGGCTAAAAGTGCCCCCACAGGTCAGGAATTCTGAACGTGGCCCTTTGGGAAATACAGGTTATGGGACCCTAGAATGTCCAGTGCAGTCTTCATACCTCTAATTCCTTTCTCTCTCAGAGGCCACAACTTTCCCAGGAGGAAGTGGAACCACCCGAGCAGGACCAACCAGAGGTGAGCTTGTCAGGCTTAGGCCTGAGGGTCTCATCATGTCTCTAGCTGGTAGCTACAGAGAACATGTAGTGAAGGCATTTGAAGCAGGGGCCTGCATTTTATTCTGGGTCATATGGTGTCCTGTCAACCTGGTCAGTTATTCTGCTTTTGAATTTCATGACCTTAGATAGTCAGCCAGGCTGTGTGCACTATTCTAGCTTATGGAGACATTATTTTTTCTCATAAAAGATATTTAAAAACGTTTCATATATTTTAGCCTTTCAGGACTTCCTATTCCCCTACCGAGGTTGCCTTTCCACTCACATCTTGATACTTTTTAAATCATTTTTCTCATATACTTACACATGATGTTGATTTCCTCTCTCTCCTCACACTAGAAAGCTTCATGAAGACAACTGATTATTAAAATTCCTCAAGTTGTATCACACAGTGCTGCTTATAAATATAAAACAATGATTTTTTCATCCTGTGTGCACCTCTGTCACACCAGGGGGATATATTCCTAGAAGGGAAACAGGTCAGGTTGATTTAAGCCCTATTTTTCTCTTGCCTCATAGTGAAAGGGAATCCCAGCAGCAACACATCCATCCCATGTTGGCCTGGAAAATGAAGTGCTAGGAAGTTGTTCGTTTTCCTTTCTCTATAGAAATCGAGTGTTCACAGGAGAGGGTTTTAGTGCTACATTGATGCTTCCAAGCTTAATTGGAGACAAACTGCTCTATTCCTTTATTTCCTTTCCTTTTTTTTTTTTTTTTCATTTTAGTTACCACTGGAGAATTGTCTGGAATGACCTTTATATCTGGAAGTCCTAACACAGGTAACTTAACAAGAAATGCCTCTTATTTTAATGTCAGATGTCATGATTTTTTAAAGCCTCAGATAAAGTAATATCCCAATATCTTCTTCCAGTATTCTAAATTCCCAGTCTTTTTCATTCTCCTCTTTCTTCCATCAGAGGCCACCACTTCCACAGAAGAGACTGGTACTTCTGGAACTGGATTCAAAACTGGTGAGAAGAAACATCCCGTGATTTGACGTCATAAATATTAGGTCTCCCAAGCTTTTCTTGAGAGAGTTTGTGTTTGTATTATTTAGGGACACTGCAAGTGATTCAAAATAGATTTGCTGGTGGAGGTATGTTTTTTTTTGAAAATCCACTAATTCTAAAATGGATCATTACTGCTTCATTTCTGAGGATATGATGCATTTCTCCATTTATGTTACGACTCCTGCTAGCAGTTTAGGTGGAATTCAGAAAGTTTTCAGTGCATGTGTGTGAAACAGAAAAGACCTCTATGGAACCAGGACACATACATTTAACATGTATATTTGAACAAAAATGCTGACTCAGTATTTTCTCCTACCTGTGTAGCTTCAATACATTTAAACTATTTTTCCTCCTCTTTCTATCTCACAGCAGGCATCACTGCAGCAACAGGGAAGCAATCAGCTGAGCATTGGGAAAATGCATCTAGTTTCACTTTTATCACCTTTTCAGTTGTGCTTGTTCTTGGAAACATTGTATCTTCTTTTGTTATGAATTGTTGAAAGCAGGCAGATACACCAAGTTTTCCACCTGCCTCCTGCTCAGAGAAAGAGGATTCTGTTATGGCAATTAAATACAGAAATACAGCTTATCCCTTTTAGATTCAGGTCCTCATTTGACTTACTCATTCACTGTGATCACCTCAGTCTCTTTGTGTTTCAGGTATCTCAGCGGTAGCCCCTGCCACAACAGTTGCCCGTGGAAGTTTCAGCACAGGTGAGTCTACTGTGTGGTGGGGAATCCTTTCACGGGTGCTTGCTACAGTAACATGTCTTTCCTTTTGGTGCTTCTATGCAGGAGCTCCACTGTTCCATTCCATGCCCCCTGAATCTTTTCCATTTGTGTCCTTCTTCTCCCAGCAGCCACAACTTCTCCTGGAGCAAGTGGAATGACTGGGGTTACAACAACTGCAAGTAAGAACTGACAATCCACTACCTCCTTCCCAGTAGGTCACTTTGCCTTGATCACATCTACCGTTTGTACTTCCTGTGTAGCGCATTTTAAAAAAAATTTACAAATAGGCAAGATTTTACCTAATATGTAAAAGTTGGACACTCAAATGCCTTTGTCTTCCTTTCCTCTGCTTCAAGGAGACTTCACCATGGAGCTAAGGCACTGAGCATGAGTTGTGTGATTGGAGAGAAAGGTCTTTCTTTCCCTCAGTGATATATAAAGAAAATAGTAGTTATTAAAATTTTTCTCACTAAATAATCTATAGGAATGGTACATGAAAAAATATAGATTAACTTCGGGTTCTAGAAACCTCTGAAAAAATGCTTTTTGACACATTAAGACAACACAGATTCACCTCACCCCATCGAAGGCCATTTTCTTTTCATTATGTGCAAAGAGTAAAAATACTGATTCCTATACCTCTATAATTCCAGGTTCCAATGTGGTAACCACTGGAAAAATTCTTACACACGAAAATCTAATACTTAAAGCAATAAATAATGATGATAATAGTAATGAGCATGTCAATCATTTATGAGTTCCACACTGTATCTGCTTTTTTAATTATGGGTTTACATATCTTATTCCAATGAAAAAATATCTAAGGTTCAATTAGTAAAATAAATTTATAAATGATGTATCTTCACATTTTCACAATTAAACTTGTATATTTATAGTTTTCATTACTTCTAAATTTGGAAGGCCTTCTTTTCTGACTTAATAGAAAGTGTCAAGACATTTTGAATTGAGGTTATCTCATGTAATGACATCAGCTTAGCTCATCCCTCTTTCTTAATACTCAATTAATTTTGGTTTCTTTTCATCTTCTAGAGACCACAACTTCCCTAGGAGGAAGTAGCACCACTGGAGCAGAAATAAAATCAGGTAAAGACTCTGGGGTATTTGTATTTATTGTTGTACTTTGATAGATTTCTTAGAGAAAACTTTTTTAATGAGCTTTTAATTTGAAAATAAATTTAAATTACAGATAATGCAGAGAATCTTTTTAATGTGGAGTGTGGGCTTAAATTTCCTTTGAGGCTGTAATATTTCAAGAGAGCAGAGTTTGCTCTTTGATTTGGATTTGTAAACTCTTGAGACTAAAATTTCTAAAGTCTTTCCCTTCTGAGAGACTAACATCAGGGTTCTAGGTCTCTGGAGAGGAGACTTGCAATAACAGCTCTGGTTTTGAAAAGGTTTTCCCTTTGAAAAGGGCATAATCTGTATAACATTAGTATACTGATTTCTACAGTGTAGAAATCACTAAGATGTCATATTTTAGTTTAGAGATAAAAAGTCAAAATTATCTTTCTTCCTTCTTGTTCTTTCTTGTTTTCTCCTCCTCTTTTTTCTCCTTCTCTCTTATGCTTTTTATTAAGAACCACCACTACAGCACCAGAAAGTAGGAGAGGTAAACTTGGGGAAAGCCTTTCATATGACCTTCAACTTTGACCAAATCTTGGTAATAATAATCAGGGCAGGAATATTAGCCACTGCATCACCCTTGGCTTTTCAAAGGCGCACAATAAACCTGAAACCTGTTAGTCCTCATGTCAGTTACAATTTCAGGAAGTGTGCTTTCTTGCTTCAAAGTCACAAGTAGACATACTGTTGGCCACATTTTTCCAAGTGTCATGAAAGAGTTCCCATGTTCATCTTTCTCTTTTCTTTTCTACCTAGGCACAGCTGGAGTGTCCTCTGGTATAATAGTCACCTCTGGGAGCTCCAACTCAGGTAAAGCACCAGGCTGGGAGGAACCACTGCTTGGAAAGGGCTCCTCAATGAGGTATCTGCCTGGGTGATCCTACCATACTGTTCTCAGATTCTCCTAATCTTTGCCCTCACTGCTGTTCTTTTTCCCTGTTTTGCAGAGGCCACAACTTCTTTGGGAAAAAGTGGAATAACAAGAGCTGAAATAATCACAGGTGAGTTCTGTTAAGGAACGAAGTGTACTTTGTTATAATTTCACATGTCTTGCTTGAAATATGACAAAATTTTTTGAATTTTCCATATTTGGCATATTAGGCAAAAATTTAGATGTTCAAAATTTAACATTAATAAATATAGGTCAGACACTTCAACATTTTCTCCTTGTTTCTTGTGCCTTGGCTCTAAAGTCCCTTTATCAGGATATCATAGGGCCCATTCCCTGACAGCTATATGTGTGACTCGGGCTCAAATCTATCTTTCTCTATCTAAACCCTAAAAAATGGAACTTGGTGGTAGAGGACTTTCTCTGTAAACTTGCTGAGGGAATTATAGTTTATGTGAATAATATATGGATTGACCCTTAAAATAGAAACAGCAGAGAAATATATTTTCTGTTGTATTGAAGAAAAAAGTTTTTTTTTTTCTTTAAGAGCCTATGCTTATATCATAAGGCACAACAAATTGACCAACTGCTTATGATCCTTTCCTATCTGGGGTACTACTGAGGGCATTTCTGGCAGAACTCTGAAAGATGGAAGTGTCCACACAGGTCAGGCACCTTCAGAACATGGCCTCTTGGCCAGTACAGCTTATGAGACCCCAGAATGTCCTGTGCAGTCTTCATACCTCCAATTCCTTTCTCTCTCAGAGGCCACAACTTTCTCAGGAGGTAGCGGGGTCACCCGAGCAGGATTACCCAGAGGTGAGCCCGGCAGGCCCAGACCTGGGGCTCTCATCATCTCTCTGTCGGGGTGGGTACAGGGAACAAATAATATGAAGGCATTTGAAGGAAGGGCTTGCATTTTCTCCTCAGCCATATTGTGTCATATCAACCTTGGTTAGTTATTGGACTTGTAAATTTCATGACTTGGATTGTCAGCCAAGCTGTCTGCACTATTCTAGTTTATGGAGACATTATTTTTTTCTAATTAAACATATTAGAAAATATTTCATATATTACAACCTTCCAGGACTTCCTATTCCCCTTACCCAGCCTTTCCACTCACAGCTTGATACTTTTTATCATTTTTCTCATATACTTACACATGATGTTGATTTCCTCTCTCCCCTCACTAGAAAGCTTCAGGAAGACAACTGATTATTAAAATGCCCCAAGTTGTATCACACAGTCCTACTTATAAATATAAACAATGAATTATATCTCCTGTAGGTACCTCTGTCACACCAGAGGGATATGTTCCTGGAAAGAAAACAGGTCAGGGTGATTTAAAGCCCTATTTCCCCCTTGCCTTAGTAAAAGTGTATCCCAGCAGCAAGCTATCCATCGTGTGGGCCTGGAAAATCAAGTGCTAGGAAGGTGATCATTTTCCATTCTCTATAGAAATGCTGTCTACAGGAGAGGGCTTCCAGTGCTTTAGGGCTACGTTGATGGTTCAAGCTTAACTGGAGACAAAATGCTCTATTCCTTTATTTCCTTCCCCCCCACTTTTTTTTTTTTTTGACATTTTAGGTACCACTGGAGAATTGTCTGGAAAGACAATTATATCTGGAAGTTTTAACACAAGTAGCTTAACAAGAAGTAAATTCTTATTTAATGTCAGATGTCATATTTCTTTTATGACTTCTATGATACAGTAATATCCTAATATCTTCTTCCAGTATTCTAAATTCCCAGCCTTTTTCATTCTCTTCTTTCTTCTGTCAGAGGCCACCACTTCCACAGAAGGGACAGGTACTTCTGGAACTGAATTCAAAACTGGTGAGAAGAAGCAACCCATGATCTGGCATCATAATTATAATTATGGCATCATAATTATGAAGAGTCTCAAGCTTTTCTTGAGAGAGTTTGTGTTTATTTTATTTAGGACATTGCAAGTGATTCAAAATAGATTTGCTGGTGGAGATACATTTTTAAAAAATCTACTAATTCTAAAATGGAGCATTACTGTTCCATTTCTGAGGATGGGATGGAATTTCTCCATTTGTGTTACAACTGTTGCTAGCAGTTTAGGAGGAATTCAGAAAGTTTTCCGTGTGTGTATGTGAAACAGTAAAGAGTCCCATGGACCCAGGATGCATGCATTTACAAGTGTATATATGAATAAAAATGCTGACTCAGTATGTTTTTTCTTATGTCTCAAGTTTTAATACATTTAAGCCATCTTTTCCCTCCTCTTTCTCCCTCACAGCAGGCATCACTTCTGTCTCAGGGAAACAAGCAGGTGAGTATTGGGGAAATGCATCTAGTTTTGTTTTATCAAATTTCCAGGTGTGCCTGAAGTTGGGAATATTTTCTATGTGCTTTGGTTTGAATTGTTGAAAGCAGGCAAATACATGTAGTTCACCATTTGCCTCGTGCTCAGAGAGAGATTTCTGTGGTGGCATATAAATAAATAAATACATACATACATAGAGCATATTCCTTTTAGATTCGGTTCTTCATTTGACTTACTCATGCACCATGATCACCTCAGTCTCTTTGTGTTTCAGGCACCTCTGGGGTATCTCTTGCCACAACAGTTGCCCCTGGAAGTTTCAGCACAGGTGAGTCCACAGTGTGGTGGGGAATCCTTTCATGGGTACTTGCTATGATAATATGCCTTTCCTTTTGGTGCTTTTATGCAGAATAACTACCTTTCCATTTTAAGTCCCCTAAATCTTTTCTATTTATGTTCTTCCTTTCTCAGTGGCCACAACTTCTTCTGGAGCAAGTGGAATAACAGGGGCTGGCCCCACCTCAGGTAAGCACTGATGAACCACTACCTGCCTCCCAGTGGACCACGTTGCCTGAATTGCATCTACTGTTTGTACTCTCTGTGAAGAGCATTTTCTGAAGAAAGATTATCACATAGGCAGGATTTTACCTAATAACTAAAGGCCAGACACTCAACCTTTTAACCTTCTTTTCCTCTGCTTCAAGGAGACTTCACCATGGAGCCAAGGCACTGAGATTCAGTTAGGAGATTGAAGATAAATGTTTTTCTTCCTCTCATTGATATTTAAATGAAGTGATTGAGTTATTGACATTTTATTCATTAAATATTCCATGAGATATAAATGATGTGTAGAAAACATACACAGATTAACTCCTGCTTCTAGAAACCTCTGAAGAGAGCTTGTTGACACCTTGAGGAAACGCATAGTTTTCTTATCCCATCCTAGGCCATTTTCTTTCTCATTATGGGTAAAGAATTGAGATATTGATTCCTATTTCTAATCCCACACTGGAATTATTACACACTGGTAGTCACTAGCAGAATTTTTTCTCATGAAAAGTCTAATTCTTAAAGCAATAAATTAATGATGTTAATAGTAATGAGCGTATTGATCATTTATGATTTCCTTGCTATATACATATCGTATATGGCCTTTATATACCTTATTACCATCGCAACTACCTAAGGTCCAAAGAAGATCCATGAGTTAAAAATGGACAATTAAACTTGTGTCTTGAAGATAAACACTTTTACATGGAAAAGGGCTTCTTTTCTGACTTAGTGGTAGATGATAAGACATTTTGAATTGTATTTGTCTCACGTAGTCTCATCAGCTTAACTCACCTGTCTTCCTTCATACTCAATTAATTTTGGTTTTCTCTCCATCTTTAAGAGACCACAGCTTCCCTAGGAGGAAGTGGTACCACCGGAGCAGGAATAAAATCAGGTGAAGATTTGGGTATTTTCATTATTTATTGTTAGAGTTTGATTCCAAGTTCATGGATTTCTTAGGGAAAACAAGCCTTTTATTTTGAAATATTACATTATGTAAAATGCGCAAAGATAAAGCAAAAATCCCTTTCATGTGGAATGCAGTTTTTATATCCTTTGGGGGCTATAGTATTTCAGGGAAACCAGCAATACTTTTTGGATTCGGATTTGAAACCACTTGGCCCCAAAGTTCCTAATGGCTTTCCCTTCTCAGGGACTAACCCTTGGGTTCTAGGCCTCTTGAGAGAGCAGATATAATAGCTCTGGCTCTGAAATGGTTCTTCCTGTGAAAAGAGCTTAGTCTGTGTTACATTACAGTACTGATTTTTATTCAGCAGAGAAATCATTAAGATGTCACATTTTAGTTCAAAGAAAAAATTCTAAATCTTTCTTCTTCTTCCTTCTCTGCCTCCTCCTCCTTTTTCTTGTCTTCCTGTTCCTCTGTCTTCCTTTTCTGCTGTTCCTTTCTTCTCCTCCTTCTCTACCTAATCCTCTTTCTTCTTCTTTTTCTCTCTCTTCTTCATCCTTTTTCTCCTCTTCCTTCTCGTTTTTCTCCTCCTCTCCTCTGCTTCCTCCTCTTGCTTCTTCTCCCCCGGCTTCTTTTTTTCCTCCTCTGCCTCGTCCTTCTCTTCTTTCTCTTCCTTCTCCTCTTCCTACTCCTCTTATCTTCTTCCTCCTCCTTCTCTTCTCCCTTCTTTTTCTTTTCGTTAGGAGCCACTACTGGAGCACCAGGAAGTAAAACAGGTAAATATGGAAAAAGCCTTTGATATGACCTTTAATCTTGGCAAAGATTGGCAGGTATATTGGCCATGGTGTTAAACTTGGCTTCACAAAGGCAAATGGTAGACATGAAATACGTCTATATTTCTGTCAGTTATAGGTTCAGAAAGTATCTTTTGCTGTTTCAAAGTCACAGATAGACTTGTTACCGACATTCTTCCAGGGATCACAAAATTGTTCCTGTGTTGGTCTTTTTCTTTTTTCCCACCTAGGCACAGCTGCAGGTTCCTCTGGTACAACAGTTGCCCCTGGGAGCTCCAACTCAGGTAAAGCACCAGGCTAGGAGGAACCACTGCTTTGGAAGGGCTCCTCAGTGAGTTGTCTGCCTGGGTGATCCTACCATACTCTTCTCAGATTCTTCAAATCTTTGTCCTCATTGTTATTCCTCTTCTCTCATTTGCAGAAGCTACAACTTCTATAGGAGAAAATGGAAAAACAAGTGGGGAAATAATCACAGGTGAGCTCCGTTAAGGAACTAAGTGTACTTTGTAATAACTTCCCATGTCTCACTTGAAATACAGCAAAATTCTTTGGCTTTTCAACATTTGGCGTATTACAAATATTTAGCAGATGTTCAATATTTAACATCAATAGATAGGGTTCCAACACTTCAATGTTCCCTCCTTGTGTCTTGTTCCCTGTGTCAAAGGCCTCTTCATCAGGCTAGCATGGGGCCCATTCCTTTGCAGTTATAGAGGTGACTTGGCCTGAATCTATCTCCCTGTAACTAAATCCTAAAAAAGGATCTCAGTGGTGGAGGACTTTCAGTGTAAACTCGTTGAGGGAATTATATGTTCCACGAGCAATATATGGATAAATTCTTAAAACTAGAAAGCCCAGAGAAATAAATGTACTGGTATATTGAAGAAACAAAGTTATTATCTTTCCTTTAAGATCCCATGCCCATTTCATGAGAAGCAACAGATTGATCAGCTGACCACCTTTCTTATTTCAGGTACTACTGAGGGCACCTCTGGCAAAGTTCTGGAACCTGGAAGTGCTCACACAGGTCAGGAATTCTGAATATGGCCCCTTAGGCAATATCAGCTTTGGGAAACTCAGAATGTCCTGTCCAATCTTTATAATTCCAATTCCTTTCTCTCTCAGAGGCCACAACTTTCCCAGGAGGCAGTGGGACCACCCGAGCAGGACCACCAGGAGGTGAGCTTGTCAAGCTGAGGCCTGGGGCTCTCATCAGCTCTTGATCTGGGTGGCTGCAGTGAACAGTAATGAACAGTAATGCAGTGAAAGTCTTTTGAGGGAGGGTCCTCCATTTTCTCTGTGGCCATAGTTTGTCATATCAACCTGGTCAGTTATTCTGCTTGTGAATTCATGACCTCAGGTGTCTCAGTCAGGCTGTCTTTGATGTCCTGGCTTATGGAAACAATTTTTTTCTGATTGTTTGAGAGTATCTTGCATATATTCCAACTTTCCAGGACTTTCAACTCTCCTTACCCAGTTTTCCTTTCTACCCACGGTTTGAGACACTTTCTATCATTTTTCTCTTTTACTTACACATGATATTTGTTTCCTCTCTCCCCTCCTATAAAACTTCATGAAAACAACTGATTATTAAAATGCTCCAAGTTGTATCAAAGAGTCCTGCTTATAAGTATAGAATTGTGCTTTGTTTCTCCTGTAGGCACCTCTGTTACGCCAGGGGGATATGTTCGTGGAAGGGAAACAGGTCAGGGTGATTTAAGCCCAATTCTTCCCTTGCCTCATAGAGAAAGGGAAACCCAGTAGCAACACACACAGCCCAGGTTGGCCTGGAAAATCAAGTGCTTGGAGATTGCTCATTTTCCATTCTCTATAGGGATAGTGTCCTCAGGAAAGGGCTTCCAGTACTTTAGGGCCACACACGGATGCTTCCAAGCTAACCTGGGGAGATAATGATCTATTACTCCATTTCCCTTTTTTGGCATTTTAGGTACCACTGGAGAATTGTCTGGAACGACCATTATATCTGGAAGTTCTAACACAGGTAGCTTAACAAGAAGGGAATGCTTCTTATTTCATGCCAGATGTCATGATATCTCTTTTAGAGCTGCTATTATAAAAGAATACCCCAATATCCTCTGTGGTATTCCAAATTCCCGGATGTCACTATTCTCCTACTTTTTTTTTCCCTCAGAGGCCACAACTTCCACAAAAGGGACTGGTACTTCTGGAACTGGCTTCAAAACTGGTAAGAATCAACAGTCCATGATTTAGGGTCATCAAGATTAGGAATCAAGCTTCTCCTAAGAGTGTTTATATTTTATTTAGGTACATTGCAAGTAATTAAAAATGAATTTGCTATAGAGATAACTTTTTTTGGAAATCTACTAATTCTAGAATTGAGCCTCACTGCTTCAGGTCTGAGAATGGGTTGAGATGTCTCCCGCGGTATTACACTTATCACCAGAATTGGCGCTGGAATTCAGAATGTTTTCCGTGTGTGTGTGTGAGTGTGTGTGTGTGAAATAGAAAAAAAGCCCATGGAACCAGGATGCATGCATGCATATGTGTGTATCTGTATATGGATAAAACTTTGCTTTGCCAATATTTTGTCCTAGATCTAGTTTGCAGCACATTTAAAACTTATTTCCCCTACTTTCTATCTCATAGCAGGCATCACTGCAGTGCCATGGGGAGCAAGTTTGTCAGCCTTAGGGAAATGCATCTAGTTTCCCTTTTATTAAATTTCCAGGAGAAGCACCTGAAGTTGCAAACAGTATTTCTCTATTTGCTTTGGTTATGAATTGTCGAATGCAAGCAAATACACTTAGTTCACCCTCTGCCATAACCTCAAAAAGAGAGATTTCAGTTATGGCAAATAAATACATTATATCCCTTTCAGAGAGTCAGGTCTTCACTTGACTTACTGAGTCATAATGGTCAGTAAGTCAAATGAAGACCTGACTCTAAAAGAGATATAATGTGTTTTTAGGTACCTCTGCGGTGGCACCTGGCACAACAGTTGCCCCTGGAAGTTTCAGCACAGGTGAGTCCACAGTTTCTTTACTGATTCCACAGGAATCGTTTCTTGAGTGCTTGCTACAATAATGTCTTTCCTTTGGTGCTTATATGCAGAAGCACCACCATTCCATCCCTAGGCCCCTGAATCTTTTTCATTTATGTCCCTCCTCTCTCAGTAGCCACAATTTCTCCTGGAGCAAGTAGAACCACTGGGGCTGGACCCGCTGAAGGTAACCACTGATGAACTACTAACTGCTTCCCAGTAGACAAGGTTATCTGAATGACATCTGCTGTTTGTGCCTCCTGTGAAGAGCATTTTCTGAACACAGATTACTGGATAGGCAGGATTTTACGTAATAACCAAATGTCAGATCCTCAGACTCTTTTATCTTCCTTTCCTCTGCCTCAAAGTGACTTCAGCATGGAGCTAAGGCACTGAGAATCAGTTGAGTGATTAGAAAGAAATATCTTACTCTGATTGATATCTAAAGGAAGTAATTGAGTTTTTGGAATGGTTGTCATTAAATATTCCATGAGATGTAAATGGTGTGAAGAACATATATAAATTAACTCTTGATTCTAGAACCTCTGAAAAGAGCTTGTTGACATGCTGAGAAAACATGGCTCCCTTACCCCATCGTAGGTCATTTTTTTCTCATTATGGGTAAAGATTGAGATATTGATTCCCATTGTTCTCTAATACCAAGTTCATTTTTGGTAGCCACTGGCAAAATTCTTGCACATGAAAAGTATAATATTTAAAGCAATAAATAATGATGATAATAGTGAGCATATCTATCATTTATGCGTTCCTTACTATATATGCTTTTTTATTAAGAATTTTACATATCTTATTCCAATTAAGAAATAACTAAGGTCCAACTAAGAACCATGTGAGTTAAAATGTTTTATCTCCCCATTTTAACAATTAAATGTACGTATTAAATGTTTCCATCACTTTTACAGTCAGTAGGTCTTCTTTTCTGAATTAATAGTAGGTGACAAGACATTTTGAATTGGGCTTATCTCATGTAGTGACATCCACTTGCTCATCCCTCTTCCTTAATACTGAATTAATTTTAGTTTTCTTTTCATCTTTAAGAAACCACAACTTCCCTAGGAGGAGGTGGCACCACTGGAGCAGAAATAAAATCAGGTAGACTTTAGGGTATTTATATTTATTGTTGTATTTTGATAGATTTTGTAGAGAAAAACATTTTTAATGATCTTTTAATTTTGAAATAATTTTAAGTTACAGAAAATTTGCATTGATAATGCAAAAATCACCTTAATGTGGAAGTGGTTTTAAATTTCCTTTAAAGCTGTAATATTTTAAGGGGAACAGAGATTCTTCTTGGATTTGGATTTGTAAATATGTGGGCCCAAATTTCCTAAAAGCTTTTTCTTTTTCAGATACTAACCTCAGGGGTCTAGGACTCTGCAGAGGAGGGTTACAATAACAGCTCTGGCTCTGAAATGGTTTTCCCTTTGAAAAGAGCATAGTCTATGTAACATTAGTGTACTAGCTTCAAATCAGTGTAGAAATCATTAAGATGCCCATATTTTAGTTTGGAGATAAAAATTCAAAAATATTTTCTCTTCCTTATTTCTCTTTCTTTCCTCCTCCTTCTTCTCCTTCTCTTTTTCTTTTCATTAGGAGCCACCTCCGGAGCACCAGGAAGTAAGACAGGTAAACTTGGGAAAGCCTTTCAAATGACCTTCAACATTGGCAAAAAAAAAAAAAAAAAAAAAAGGACAAGCATATTAGCCATTGTGTTAACCTCGGCCTTGCCAAGGAACACAATACACATGAAAAATGCCTCTCCTGTCAGTTATAGGGCCAGGAAGCATCTTTTCCTGCTCTGAAGTCACAGATGGACATGCTGTCAGCTGCATTCTTTCAAGGGTCATAAAAGGGTCTCTATGTTGATCTTTCTCTTTTCTTTCCTATCTAGGCACAGCTGGAGTGCCCTCTGTGACAACAGTTGCCCCTGGAAGCTCTAACTCAGGTAAAGCACCAGACTGGGAGGAACCAGTACTTGGAAAGGGCTCCCCAGTGAGGTGTCTGCCTGGGTGATCCTACCATGCTTTTCTCAGATTCTTCAAGTCTTTGCCCTCACTGCTATTCTTTTTCCCTCTTTTGCAGAGGCCATGACTGCTTTAAGAGAAAGTGGAAAAACAAGAGCTGAAATAACCACAGGTGAGCTCAGTTAAGGAACTAAGTATACATTGCTATGATTTTCCATGTCTTGCTAGAATATGGCAAAATCTGAATTTCCCATATTTGGCATATTAGAAAAACATTTAGCAGATGATCAATATTTAACATCAATAAATATAGTTCAGACACATCAACATTTCCTCCTTTGTGTCTTGTGCTGTGGGTCTAAGGACCCTTCATCAGGGCATCATGGAGCCCATTCCCTGACGGTTATAGAGGTGATGTGGGCCCAAATCTCTCTATCTGTAACAATACCCTAAATAAGGAACTCCATGGTAGAAGACTTTCTCTATAAACTTGCCAAAGGAACTATATGTTCCATGGGCAGTATATGGATTAACTCTTAAAAACAAAACAAAACAAAACAAGACAAAAACTCTAGAGAAATAAATTTTCTGGTGTGTTTAATAAAAAATGTTTTTTTCTATAGGAGTCTATAGCCGTTTCATTAATGACAACAGACTGACCAACTAATCACAATCCTCTCTTATTTCAGGTACTACTGAGGGCAAAACTCTGGCAGCTGGAAGTACCCACACAGGTCAGGAATTCTGAACATGGCACCCTGGGCAATACAGCTTATGGGGCCCCAGAATGTCCTGTGCAGTCTTCATACATCCAATTCCTTTCTTTCTCAGAGGCCACAACTTTCTCAGGAGGCAGCGGAACCACCCGAGCAGGACCATCAGGAGGTGAGCTTGTTAGGCTGAGGCCTGAGGCTCTCATCATCTCTCTCTCTGGGTGGATACAGGGAACAAATAATGTGAAGGCTTTTGAGGGAGGGGGATTTTCTCTGGGGCCCTATTGTGTCCTATATGTGGTCAGTTATTCTGCTTGTGATTCCATGATCTCAGATGGCTCAGCCAGGCTGTCTTCAGTATCTTGACTTATGGAGACATTTTTTTCTGATATGATGAGGCTTGGGAGTCTATTATACTTATCCCATCCTTCCAGAATGTCCAGCTGTCCTTTACCCAATTTACCTTTCCACCCACAGCTGGACACTTTCTATCCTTTTTCTCATTTAGCTATACATGATGTTGATTTTCTCTCTCCCCTCATGAGAAAACTTTGTGAAGTCAACGATTATTTAAATGCCCCTAGCTGTATCAAAGAGTCCTGCTTAAGGTTAAAACCATGCTGTATTTCTCCTGTAGGCACTTCTGGCACATCAGAAGGATATGTCCCTGGAAGGGAAACAGGTCAGGGTGATTTAAACCCTAGTCTACCTTTGCCTTATAGTAAAAGGGAAACCCAGCAGCAACACATCCATCTCAGTTTGGCCAAGGAAAATGAAGTGCTAGAAGTTGTTCATTTTCCATTCACTATAGAGACAGAGTATCCTCAGGAAAGGGCTTCCAGTGCTTTAGGGCCACATTGATGCTTCCAAGCATAAATGGGGAGAAAATATTGCTGCATTTACCCCTTTTTCTTTTTAGGAGAATCTTCTGGAACAACCATTATATCTGGGAGTTCTAACACACATAGCTTAACAAGAATAAAGTGCCTCATATTTAATGTCAGATGTAATGATATCTCTTTTAGGGTTGCTGTGATAAAATAACGCCCCAGTATCTCCTCTCAGTATTCCAAATTCACAGACTTCCCTACTCTATTTCTTTCCTCAGAGCCCACAACTTCCATTGAAGAGACTGGTCCTTCCAGAACTGTATTCAAAACTGGTGAGACTAAAAAGCACATAATTTGGGGTCATCTAGATTAGGTCTTTTTCCTTGAGGGTGTTTGTGGTTTTTATAGGCACTGCAAGTGATTCAATATAGGTTTGTTACTAGGGAGAAATCCTTTTTGAAAGGCTACTTATTGTAAAATTGAGTCTCCCTCTATTGAGGCTGAGGATGGGAAGGGTTTTCCCGTTGTGTTACTATTACCACCAGCATTTGAGCTGGAAGCCAGATAGTTTTCTGTGTGTACATGTGTGAATGTGTGTGAGGTAGGAAAGAGCCCCATGGAACCAGGGTGCATGCATGCATATGTGTGTATGTATCTTACAATTGGCTTTCCCAAAATGTTCTCCAACATCTGAAGTTTCAACACATTTAAATCTTTTTTCTTTCTTCTTACGTACCTCACAGTAGGCATCACTTCGGTCCCAGGGAGGCAAGCAGGTGAGCATCGAGAAAATGCATCTAGTTTCCCTTTTATCAACTTTGTAGTTGTGCTTAAAGTTGGAAACATTTTCTATGTGCTTTGGTTATGAATTTTTGAAAGCAGGCAAATATATATCGTTCACCATCAGTCTCATGCTCAGAGAGAGATGTATGTTGTAGGAAATAAATAAATACATACATACAGCATAACCCTTTAAGATTTGGGCCTTCCTAGAACTTACTGAATCACTATGGTCCCCTCAATCCCTTTGTGTTTCAGGCACCTCTGTGGTGGCGCCTGGCACAACAGTTGCCCCTGGAAGTTTCAGCACAGGTGAGTCCACTGTGTGATGGGGAATCCCTTCATGGGTGCTTGCCATAATGTCTTTGAGTGTTTCAATGCAGAAGCATCACCATTCCATTCCATGCCCCCTGAATCTTTTCTATTCATGTCCTTCCTCTGCCAGCAGCCACAACTTCTCCTGGAGCAAGTGGAATGACTGGGGTTAGAACCACTTTGAGTAAGCACGGACAATCCACTACCTCCTTCTCAGTAGACATTGCCTCAATCACATGCAGTATTTGTACTTCGTGTAAAGAGTCTTTTCTGTACATGGATTACCAGATAGTCAGGATATTACCTAAATGACTAAAGGCCCGACACTCAAATTCCTTTATTTTTCTTTCTTCTGTTCCAAGGAGACTTCACCATGAAGCTAAGGCACTGAGAATCAGTTGTGTGATTGGAGAGACATGTTTTTATTTCTCTCATTGATATCTAGAGGAAATAATTGAGTTATGGAAAGTTTTGTCATTAAATTTTCTGTGAGACAGAAATGGTGCATGGAAAACATATGTAGGTTAAATCTTGGTTCTAGAAACCACTGAAAAGAGCTTCTTGGCACTTTGAGAAAACACATAGTTCCCACACCTTCATGATATGACATGTTCATTCTTATTATGGGTAAAGAATTCAGATTTTGATTCCTATCACTTTCTAATTCCAACTTTCAATGTGGCAGCCACTGGCAAACTTCTTGCACGTGAAAAATCTAATATTTAAAGCAATAAATAATGATGATAATAGTAATAAGCATATGAATCATTTATGAGTTCTGACCGTATACCTTTTGAAATTAAGTTTAAATAACTTATTCCAATTAAGAAACACTTACATTTCAATTAAGAACAATATGATTTGAAAATATTTTACCTCACCATTTAACAATTATACTTGGATATTGAAGGTTTCCATCATGTTTACAGTCAGAAAGATTTCTCTGTGACTTAATAGTAGGTGACAAGACATTTTGATTTAGGCTTATTGCATGTCTTGACATCTACTTAGCTCATCCCTCTTCTTTAATACTCAATTAATTTTGGTTTTCTTTCCATCTTTAAGAGACTACAACTTCCCTAGGTGGAATTGGCACCACTAGAACCGAAATAAAATCAGGTAAATATGTTGTAGTATTCATTATTTATTGTTGTATTTTGATAGATTTCTTAGAGGAAACATTTTTTAACAATGAGTTTTTAAGTTACAGAAAATTTGCATTGATGATGCAAAGAATAACTTTAATGTGGAGTGCAGTTCTAAATTTCTTTTAAGGCTGTAATATTTCAGGGGAAACAGAATTTCTTCTTAGATCTGGATTTGTAAACATGTGGGCCCAAATTTCCTGAAGGCTTTCCCTTCTTAGAGACTAACTTCAGGGTTCTAGGCCTCTGGAGAGGACAGTTGCAGAAGCTTCAGCTCTGCAATTATTTCCCTTTGAGAAGAGCATAGTCTGTTTATCATCATAGTATTGACTTGTATTCAGCATAGAAACCATTAGGTTGTCATACTTCACTTCAGAGATAAAAATTCAAAATTTTCTTTTTTTCTCCTTTCTCTTTCTTTCCTTCTCATCCTTCTTCTTTTTTTTTCTTTTTATTAGGAGCCACCACTGGAGCACCAGGAAGTAAGACAGGTAGATTTCACAAATGCCTTTTATATGACCTTCAACATTGGCAAAAATAAGTCATCAGGGCAGTCATATTATCCTTGGCCTTGCAAAGGCACACAGAAAACACAAAACATGTCTGTCCTCCTGTCAGTTATAGGTCCAGGAAGCGTCTTTTCCTGCTCCAAAGTCAAAGATAGGCATGTTGCTTACCACATTCTTCTAAGCATTACAAAAAAGTGCCCATCTTTCTCTTTTTTCCTACCTAGGCACAGCTGGAGTGCCCTCTGCTACAACAGCTGCCCCTGGGAGCTCCAACTCAGGTAAAGCACCAGGCTGGGAGGAACCACTGCTTGGAAAGGGCTCCTCAGTGGGGTGTCTGGCCTGGGCAATTCTACCATACTTTTCTCAGATTCTTCTAATCTTTGCCCTCACTGCTATTCTTTTTCCGTCTTTTTCAGAGACCACAACCTCTGTAGGAGAAAGTGGAATAACAAGTGCTGAAACAGTCACAGGTGAGCTCTCCTAAGGAACTAAGTGTAATTTGTAAGTTTCCCATGTGTTGCTAGAAATATAGCAGAACTCATTGATTCCCGTATCTGGCATATTAGATACAAATTCAGCAGGTGTTCAATATTTAACATCATTAAATATGGTTCATAAATTTCAACTTTCCCTCCTTATATCTGCCTTGGGCCTAAAGGCACTTGATCAGGGCATCATGGGACCCATTCCCTGACAGTTATAGAGGTGACTTGAGCCCAAATCTATCTTCCTGTGTCTAAACCTTAAAAAAGGGCCTCAGTTGTGATGTTTGTAAACTTGCTGAGGAAACTGTATGTTCCATGGGCAGTAAATGGATTAACTCCTAAAATACAAAATCCAGAAAAATAAATTTTTAGTATATTGATGCAAATAAGTATTTTCTTTTTCCTTTAATAGCTTATTCTCATATCATTAAGGAGGACAAATTGACCAACTGACCACATAATCTTTTCTTATTTCAGGTACTACTGAGGGCATCTCTGGCAAAACTCTGGAAACTGGAAGTGCCCAAACAGGTCAGGAATTCTAATCACGACCCGTTGAGCAGTCTAGTCTCTGAGAGCCACAGAATGTCATGTGTAGTCATTATACCTCCAATTCCTTTCTCTCTCAGAGGTCACAACTTTCTCAGGAGGCAACTGGACCACCCAAGCAGGCCCACCAGGTGAGCTTGTCAGGCTGAGGCCTGCTCTCATCTCTCTATTTGGGTGGCTGCAGTGAACAATAACATGAAGGTTTTTGAGGGAGGGGGATTTTCTCTGGGGCCATATTATGTCATATCTACCTGGCCTGTGATTCTGCTTGTGATTCTATGACCCCAAAGGGCTCAGCCAGGCTATCTCCAGTATCCTGGCTTATGGAGACATTTTTTTCTGATAGGAGGCTTGAGAGTCTATTGCATGTATTCCAACCTTCCAGAACTTCCAGTCCTTGTTTTCCCAGTGTACTTTTCCACCCACAGCTTGACACTTTCTGTCATTTTTCTCATTTACTTTTACAAGATGTTTGTTTCCTCTCTCCCCTCACCAGAAAGCTTCATGAAGACAACTGATTATAAAACGCCCCAAGTTGCATCAAAGAGTTCTACTTATAAAGATAAAATTATGCTTTGTTTCCTCTGTAGGCACCTCTGTCATACAAGGGGGATATGCTCCTAGAAGGCAAACAGATTAGGGTGATTTAAACTCTATTCTACCCTTGTGACATAGTGAAAGAGAAACCCAGTAGCAACACATTCATCTCTGGTTGGCCTGGAAAATGAAGTGCTAGGAAGTTGTTCATTTTCCATTCATTATGGAAATAGAATGTTCTCAGGAAAGGGCTTCAGTGCTTTAGGGTTGCCATCTTGATCCTTCCAAGCTTAATTTGGGAGACAATGCTCTATTATTCCATTTCCATTTTCTTTTTCCATTTCAGGTATCACGGGAGAATCTTCTAGAATGACCATTATATCTGGAAGTTCTAATGTGTTGTACTTAATGTCAAATGTCATTCTATGTATTTTAGGGCTGCTATGATAAAATCTCACCCGAGTATCCTCTCCCAGTATTCCACATTCATAGACTTTACCACTCTCTTTCTTCCCTCAGAGGCCACAACTTCCATTGAAGAGACTGGTACTTCTGGAACTGGATTCAAAACCGGTGAGAAGAAACAGCCCCTGATCTGGCATAATAAGTGTTAGGTCTCTTAAGCTTTGCGTGAGAGAGTCTGTGTTTTATTTAGGGATGCTGGAAGTGATTCAAGATAGTTTTGCTGGTGGAGATACAATTTTTTTTGAATTATAATAATTCTAGAATGGAAACTGACAGCTTTATGTCTAAGGATGGAATGGAATTTCTCCATTCATGTTACAACTGTCACTAGCACTTGAGGTGGAATTCAGAAAGTTTTCCATGAAAGTGTGTGAAATACAAAAGAGTCTCATGGACCCAGGATGCATGCGTTTATATGTGTGTGCATGCTTACACATTTTCTTGCTTTTTATCTTCTCCTATATCTGATGGTTTCAGCACATTTAAAACATTTCCCCCCTCTTTTCTATCTCACAGCAGGCATCACTGCAGCACCAGGAAAGCAAGCAGGTAAGCATTGGGGAAATCCATCTAGTTTCCCTTTTATCAAACTCCAAAAGTGCCTGAAGCTGAGGACACTGTCTATCTGCTTTAGTTGTGAAGCACTGACAACCAGCAAATGCATCTAGTTCACTAACTGCCATATCCTCAGGGAAAATGACTTCTTGTATAGAAAATAAATGTAGTATATACCTTTTAGATTCGGGTGTTCATTTGACTTACTCACTCATCATGGTCACCTCAATCCCTCTGTGTTTCAGGCACCTCTGGGGTGGCACCTGGCACAACAGTTGCTCCTGGAAGTTTCAGCACAGGTAAGTACACAATTTGGCACAGAGCCATTTCTTGGATGCTTTCTACAATAATGTGTCTTTCCTTTTGCTGCCTCTGTGCAAAAGCGGACCATTCCCTTTCTAAATCCCAGAATGTTTTCCATACTTTTTTCACTCTCTCAGCAGCTACAACTTCTCCTGGAGCAAGCAGAGTGACTGGCACTGGACCCACTGCAGGTGAGCCCTGATGAAGCACGACCTGCTTCTCAGTAGACAACGTTGCCTGAATCACATCTAATGTTTGTACTTCCTGTGAAGAGTATTTTCAGAACAAGCATTATCATATTGGCAGGATTTTACCTAATTACTAAATGTGACACTCAGCCTCCTTCATCGTCCTTTCCTCTGCTTCAGGGAGACTTTACCATGGAGCTGAGGCACAGAGAATCAGTTGGGTGATTGGAGAGAAATGTCTTTCTTTCTCTCATTGATATCTAAAGGAAGTAATTGAGATAATGAAATTTTTGTCATTAAGTTTTCTGAGATAGAAATGGTGCATGGAAGACATATACAGATTCAACTCCTGGGTCTAGAAACATCTAAAAAGGAGCTTGTTGGCACATTGAGAAAACACAGTTTCCTCACCTTCATCCTCAGCCATTTTCTTTCTTATTTTGGGCAAAGAATAAAGATAATGAATCCTGTCACTTTCTAATTCCAAGTTCCAATGTGGTAGGTGCTGGCAATTTTTTTTTTTTTTTTTTGAAGAGAGGACATCCAAGCAAAGGCAATTTGTGGCCAGCCCTGAGATTGTCCCCACTCCCTCTGGCAAAATTCTTGCACATGGTACTGGTACCAAAACAGAGATATAGACCAATGGAACAGAACAGAGCCCTCAGAAATAATATCACACATCAACAACCATCTGATCTTTGACAGACCTGATGAAAACAAGAAATGGGGAAAGGATTCCCTATTTAATAAATGGTGCTGGGAAAACTGGCTAACCATATATAGAAAGCTGAAACTGGATCCCTTCCTTATACCTTAGACAAAAAATAATTCCAGATGGAGCAAAGACTTAAATGTTAGATCTAAAACCATAAAAACCCTAGAAGAAAACCTAGGTAATACCATTCAGGACATAGGCATGGGCAAGGACTTCATGTCTAAAACACCAAAAGCGATGGCAACAAAAGCCAAAATTGACAAATGGGATCTAATTAAACTAAAGAGCTTCTGCACAACAAAAGAAACTACCATCAGAGTGAACAGGCAGCCTACAGAATGGGAGAAAATTTTTGCAATCTACTCATCTGACAAAGGGCTAATATCCAGAACCTACAAAGAACTCAAACAAATTTACAAGAAAAAAACAAACAACCCCATCAAAAAGTGGGCAAAGGATATGAACAGACACTTCCCAAAAGAAGACATTTATACACCCAACAGACACATGAAAAAATGTTCATCATCACTCGCCATCAGAGAAATGCAAATCAAAACCACAATGAGATACCATCTCACACCAGTTAGAATGGCAATCATTAAAAAGTCAGGAAACAACAGGTGCTGGAGAGGATGTGGAGAAATAGGAACGCTTTTACACTGTTGGTGGGACTGTAAACTAGTTCAACTATTGTAGAAGACAGTGTGGCAATTTCTCAAGGATCTAGAACTAGAAATACGATTTGACCCAGCCATCCCATTCTGGGGATATACCCAAAGTATTATAAATCATGCTGCTGTAAAGACACATGCACATGTATGTTTATTGCACCACTATTCACAATAGCAAAGACTTGGAACCAACCCCAATGTCCATCAATGATAGACTGGATTAAGAAAATGTGGCACATATACACCGTGGAATACTATGCAGTCATACAAAAGGATGAGTTCATGTCCTTTGTAAGGACATGGATGCAGCTGGAAACCATCATTCTCAGCAAACTATTGCAAGGACAAAAAAAACAAACACCGCATGTTCTCACTCATAGGTGGGAATTGAACAGCGAGAACATTTGGACACAGGGAGGGGAACATCACACACCAGGGTCTGTCATGGGGTGGGGGTTGGGGAGGAGGGATAGCATTAGGTGATATACCTAATGTAAATGACAAGTTAATGGGTGCAGCACACCAACATGGCACATGTATACATATGTAACAAACCTGCATGTTGTGCACATGTACCCTAGAACTTAAAGTATAATTTTAAAAAAAGAAAATTCTGATACTTAAATCAATGAAAATGTTGATTATAGTAGTGAGCATATCTATCATTGATGAGTTCCTTTCTATAACCATTTTTATTAAGAGGTTTACATATCTTATTCCAATTAAGAACTACCTAAAGTCTAAGAACCATATGAGTTAAAATTCTTTCATTCCCCATTTTAAAAAAATACCCTTGTGAATTGAAGGTTTACATCACCTTTACAGTCAGGAAACTTTCTTTTCTAACTTAGTAGGTGGCAAGACATTTTGAACTGGGCTTCTCTCATGTAATGATAGCAGCTTAGCTCATCCCTTTTTCTTAGCACTCAATTAATTTTAGTTTTCTTTCCATCTTTAAGAGACCACAATTTTCCTAGGAGGAAGTAGCACCACTGGAGCAGAAATAAAATCAGGTGAAGATTATGGGGGTTTCATTATTTACTGTTGTATTTTGATAAATTTGTTCGGGGAAACATTTTTTTCAATGAACTTTTTATTTTGGAATAATTGTAAATTATAGAAGGGTTGAATAGATTATGCAAATAATCTCTTTAATGTGGAATAGAGTTTTTCCTTTCCTTTTGAAGCTATTTCAAAGCAACCAGGATTTCCTTTCAGATTTGGAACAACTTGGGCCTAAATTTCCAAAAGGCTTTTTCTTCTCTAGGACTAGCCTCAGGGTTCGAGGCCTCTAGAGAGGAGAGTTACAGTAGCTCTGGCTCTGAAAGGGTTTTTCCTTTGAAAGTAACTCAGTGTGTGTATCATTACAGTACTGACTTGTATTCAGCAGAGAAATCATTAAGATGTCACATTTTAGTTCAGGGGTAAAAATTCAAACTTTCCTTTCTTCTTTCTTTACTCCCTTTTCTTCCTCTTGCTCCTCCTCCTCCTTCTTCCTCTCTCTTTTCCTTTTCATTAGGAGCCACCACCAGAGCACCAGGAAGTAAGACAGGTAAACTTGGAGAACGTCTTTGATATGACCTTCAATCTTGGCAAAAATAATCAGAGCAGGCACATTAGCCACTGCATTAACCTTGGCCTTACAAAGGCACACGGTAAACATAGAAAATACCACCTCCTGTCAGTTATAGGTCCAGGAAGCATCTTTTGCTGCTCCAAGGTCCAGGTAGACATGATGCTGGCCACATTCTTCTAAGGGTTACAAATGTGTCAATCTGTTGATCTTTTTTTTTTCTTTCCTTCCTAGGCACAGCTGGAGTGCCCTCTGGGACAACAGTCACCCCTGGGAGCTCCAACTCAGGTAAAGCACCAGGCTGGGAGGAACCACTGCTTGGGAAGGGCTCCTCAATGAGGTGTCTCTGCCTGGGTGATCCTACCATGAGTTCTCAGATTCTTCAAATCTTTGACCTCACTGCTATTCTTTTTCCCTTTTTCTCAGAGGCTACAACTTTCTCTAGAATCACTGAAGCAGTAACAGTCTCAGGTGAAAATGGGAAGTTTGTAAAATAGTTCTAACAATTCAAATTGATTGAAATAAATACAGAGTGATTTCCTATGGAAATCTTTGTCCAAGCCCCCAAATTTCAGAATATTAGTGTTTTACCAAAATTTTTACATTAATGGATAGCAGAATATTCTCTCTCTTTTCTCTTTTACAGGATCCATGACCACTGCACTGGGGAGCCAACTCTCCAGCAGTCAAACAGGTAAGCATGGGAAAGTATAAATATCTTCCTGATATTTACCAGTATTCAGATAATAAGGATACTTCTAATGTGAGTCCTTAGCCTTGGCTTTTTTTTTTTTTTTTTTGGAATGAAGTATCCTTGTTGAAAGGTGTATGAGGAATAATGGAATATGCCCTCTGAGTTAACAAAAAACATATAATGTTTTTCTTCTTAGCCCTTCTGTTAATGTAAAGGAAATGATGTAAGTTTCCTTCTCTTAGTGATTCCAGGTTCCAGTGGCATCATCTCTCACACAACTGTTGCACCTGGAAGTTCTGTTATAGGTAAGTGAATATTTTCAATGGCAGTCATCACTTGTTTAATTTCAAGGAGGAATATGTAACCCCAAACATCCTTTCTACTTCATTTCCTCTTGCAGAGGCCAAAGCTTCCTTAGAAGCCATCAGAGTCACTGTTGTGAAATCACTGAGAACTAGGGGTCTCAAAGGTTAGCATGGCCATTAAGTAGTATCATGAGTTTGCCTCTGAATCTGAAAGATTATCGTATAGGGAGGGCAGGTCCTCCCATCCACACCCCTGAGCTGACTTCTGAACCAGCCTTTTCCAATGCCTGGCCTTAGGACATAGATTTCTGGAGAGGGTAGCAGGAGCAGTAATTCCCTGGACAATTAACCCAGTGGATATTATAGATATTACTACAGAATCAGCAGGAGTCAAGACTGGCCCAGAAGGTCTGTCTCAGGTGAACAGATGACTAAAATGAACTCAGAAATGGTTTGCTCTCCATCCTGAGATTTAAGTATTAAGTTGCTGAAGGGTTGCCTCAGTGATTGATTATAGGTCAAAACATACTCAGAATCGTTTTTCCTACTTTCAGTCATCAGGAACCACCTCTGATGCATCAGACAATCAAGTCACTGGAAGTAAAACAGGCAAATATGTTAAAGAAATTCTTTTGTCTCACATTTGAGGGTTTTATATTATATATGCTTGGAAAGCCTACTAAAAGGTAGGCTTCTTGAGAAAAAAGTCTCTGTTCAATGATCCCTAGTACTAAACAGGGCCCAATAAATATTTATTGAATGAATGAAATAATTAAAATATAGGAAAAATATATGATTCAATCCAGGAACAAAAAGGCCAGTGGAAGAACATGCTCAAAGGACTGCCACATAGACAAAGCAGGCTGTGTGAATGGTGCCTCCTGGAGCTGGCCAGTGTACAATATGAGTGATATGGCCCTGGAAATACAGATTTAGTTTATACCTAGACTGCCTCCATGCAAAAGATTCTTTATAACACCATAACCTTCTCATTTCAGGCACTACTGGTGTGGCCTTGAGCACAGCTGTTGCACCTGGAAGTTCCAGTACAGGTAGGCTAACAAGCTGAGAAGAAAGCTCCCTTTCTGGAAATAAGATGGCAAAAATGTCTTTCACATTGCTCTTCTTCTATAAGAGCATCACAGTATATTTCCCCATCCTTCTAAGTCCTCATCCTTTACTCGTTGCTTCTCTTTTTCTTCCAGAAGCCACAACTTCCACAGGAGTCCATAGAACCACTGTAGTGGGATGGAAGACAGGTGAGAATTAATGGTGTGTGTTTGTGCATGCATGTATGACTTTTGAGTGATAATAAATTACAATTATACTTTGCTTCTTAATAGGATAGTTTTTCGAGGAGGAGCTTTTGAGGAACTCTCATCTAAGATCAGCGTTTTGTTACTTAATTTTGAATTAACTTGGGCAAATTGCCTTCCATTTCCAGGGCCAAGCCTCACATATATAAGTCTCTGCAAATGAGAGTGAAAGTGATAATTGTATGAAAAGTTTTCTTTTTCCATTTTAGTTATCTCCATTTTAGGTATATCAGAAAAATGAATTACTGGCTCAGAGGATTCCATTTCAGGTCAACAGAAGGCCAAAATGCACACAGATTTGCCTCGAACGATATATTTTTCCTTGAGCACAATAATGACTGAAATGTACCGTAGTTATCCCTATAACTCTAGTCTACATTTATATTCCAAAGTTTTTCTATTTTTATCCTTTTAAGAGCTACCACTAGAGGGTCAGCAAACCAAGGAACTGGAAGCACAATAGGTAAAAATGGCAGGAAAGAGGGCCACTTGTCTTACTGCCATTGAATTCCAGACAAATGGAGTCCTCTGTTGAGGAATTTGTATCTTTTTTTGATTTGAGAATAAAACTATGTATGAGAAAACACAGACCAGGCACGATGGCTCACACCTGTAGTCCCAGCACTTTGGGAGGCCGAGGTGGGTGGATCACCTGAGGTCACTAGTTTGAGATCAGCCTGGCCAACATGGTGAAACCTCTTCTCTACTAAAAATACAAAAATTAGCCAGGTGTGGTAGCAGGAGCCTGTAATCCCAGCTACTCAGGAGGCTGAGGCAGGAGGATCACTTGAACCTGGGAGGCGGAGGTTACAGTGAGAGATTGTGCCATTGCACTCCAGCCTGGGTGACAGAGAAAGACTAGGGTAGCTTCTGGCAACACATCTAAACCTGGGAGTTCAAACACGGGTGAGCCAGCCAGCTGGTGAGACTCCACAGAATGATTTACTAGTAAAGTGCCTCCCGTGGCACTGTTATCAAGAACAGTGCATCCTTCACTTTCCTCACAATGCTAATTCCTCTCACTTCATATTTTCCTACCTTTCCTCTCTAAGAAGCTATGACGTCCTTTAGAGGCACTGAGACCACAGGAAGTGGAATGAATACAGGTGAGCACACGAGCTTCCTAACCTGTCCACTTTTCACTTAAAATAATAGCCATAGTAGTTAACACTTTCTAGCATGAACTATGTTCCAAGCACTACTCCACGTTTTTCTCATTATTATTTCTTTTATCCCTCATCCCAAATTGTGAGGTAAGCACTATTGTTCTCACAGACTTTCCAGATGAGAAAAACCTATGGCTCAAAGATATTCACTAACTGAATGAAGATCACACAGCGAGCAAACAACAGATTTCAACTCAGGCACTCTGGCTTCAAAATCCATCCTCTTAACCATGATACTAAATCACCACTACACTATACCGCTACACTCTTTTGTGACATCTCAACTCTTTTAGACTACTACAATTTCTATGATACCAATATTTTACCCAAATGAAAATTCAACAGGTAATCAGTCCTGCTTTGTTCCTTTTTCTAGGGGTATCAGGTAGCCAAGTCACTAGCATTCCACTAGGTAAGTAAAGTACCTTTGTTTTCCTGACATTGAGTACAGAAAAAGAGACGTTCTCATTCAGACTCCACCACCACCTCACATTGCACCCTTCCCCCACCAAGTTTATAGTGAGAATGCAGCATTACATTTGCAAAATACAAAATAACTTTGGAACAAGCTGTCCCTGAAAATGTTTTTTTCTTGCATAATAAAGAATTCTGTTGTTGCCTCATTCTATTATAGAATGGGCTTTTATTATAAGAAAACAATTGATATAGTGGTACCCTTCCATTTTGTTTTTAGATACTACTGCAGTGGTCTCTGGCAACACCATCTCACCTAGCAGTTTCAACACAGGTGAGTCAATGAGGAAACAGATACTGTTGGTTTTTTTTTTTTTTTTTCGGTTAGGTGCTAACTCTGCAGCAATGGCACATTATGTCTTTTGATGATTTTCTGTTAGCCCTCACTACTTTCTTCCTTTTTATTCTCAGAAGATATAACTTCCATGGAAGGAAGCATAATCAATGAAAGTGGAATTGGCAAATATATATATACACACACACACACACAAATAAATATATATTAATATACATGAGAAAAAATGAGAAATGAGAAAAAATGACAAATGTATATATTATTTTTTTCTTGAGATAGTCTCACTCTTGAGATAGTCTCCAGCCCAGGCTGGAGTGCGGTGGTGTGACCTCAGCCTACTGCAAATTCCACCTCCAGGGTTCAAGCAATTTTCTTACCTCAGCCACTCAAGTAGCTGGGATTACAGGTGTGCACCACCACACCAAGCCATCTTTTTTTTTTTTTTTTTTTTTTTTTGTATTTTTAGAAGATATGGGGTTTCACCATGTTGGCCAGGCTGGTCTTGAACTCCTGGCCTCAAGTGATCTGCCTTTCCTGGCCTCCCAATGTGCTGGGATAACAAGTGTGAGCCACTGCGCCTGGCCAAAGAATTGGCAACTCTTGAGTTTCTACAAATCTACATTGGGCTTTTGCCTTTTCATAGAGATATTTGTTAAACAAAGCTTGTATTTATAAAATTCGTATCATTTCTCCTGGGGCCAAACCTTATACTACAATTATAGAAAAAGAGGCTCAGAGTCCAGAAAGATTCCCCTTTTAACATTTAAGCTATTACCCAGTACATACGGAGGAAATATAAATCCGTATTGTTCTATTTAAGGCAGCAGAGGTGATAGAAGTTACTCTAGAGGTTTAGATCTGTCATATTTTGGAATTTGGATGTCATAAGTTTATTGAATGCAGTTGAATACCTTTACACAAATATTGTTTTCATTTCTTGTCACTAGAAGCTACCAGTGGCACATCTAAGAGGTCAAACCCTGGAAGTGAAATAGGTAAGCATGAAAAATACCCCGAAACCTCTGACATTAAACTCTAAGGAGCCAAATAATCAAGGCTGGACTACAAACTAATGTGTTTACTGTGACTCTGAATTTAAAAATGGAGAACACACTTCATGATGACAGGATAGCACAAGCTTTCTGCTGCTTTCAAGTCATAGACAGTCATTGGCGTCCATGTTCTTCTTGGGATGGTAAATGCATCACAATTTGGGGTCTCTCTTTCCCTCTCCCTGCTTTAGGTACCACTGGTATAGTCTCTGGCACAACAGTTGCATCTGGAAGTTCCAACACAGGTAACCTAATAGGGAATGAGGGGTTTTAGTCATGGAATATGACTGAGTCCCTCCCCAGAAACATACACACTCTCTACCGTACCATGGGAATATCACGGGATTTTCTCAGTTATAGGATTCTTCTGAATTTACTTCTTTTCTCCCTTCACTTAGAAGCCACAACTTCTTTGGGCAATGGTGGAACCACTGAGGCTGGAAGTAAAATAGGTGGGCACTAGCAATCAAATAATTATTTTTTTCTTTTCATCTTAAACTAAATCAAATTGGCTCTAATGAACTTAGTGGATGTTTTCCTCAATCATTGTATACAAATTACTGGTATATAAATAGTTTACTCCTTGTGAATTGCTGCTTATTTGAAATACAATGATATCATGAGAACATGCCTAATATATCACTTAAGGCAAAAAAGTTCCTGATATAAACCTTTTAGTTCACTTGAGAAACCTATTATTTTTTTCTAAACCAAATCCTAATTTTAGATGAAAAAGAATTCATAAATTGATTCTCTCCTCTTGTGATTGCAGTTACCACTGGGATAACTACTGGCACAACCATTGTATCTGGGAGTTCCAACACAAGTGAGTCATAAAAGAGTTGAAGAAACCTGCCTATGTGAACTTCTGGGGACCTGATGGCTCCCACAGGGATATTACATAAAGTAAGAGTGTTACTCGTTTTTCCAAATGTCTGCATTCTATACCACTTTCTCCTATTTCTTCTCAGAGGCTACGACTTCTACAGGCATTGGAGTTGCCACTGGAGTTGGAATGGCAACTGGTGAGTGGTTTGTTTTGGGTTCTCAACAATTCTTTGCTTGAGTTTGTGGTAGTGATGAATGAATGGGAAGATGAGCTGAAACAGGATTTTGTATTTCACTTGAAGAGACATGTCAGGTAAATCAAGCTTGGGACCTTGCTCTTCACATGGATTTTCTCCATATACTAGTCTTTTTTTAATATTTTAAATTTTTTCAACTTTTATTTTAGATTCACTTGAAGAGACATGTCAGGTAAATCAAGCTTGGGACCTTGCTCTTCACATGGATTTTCTCCATATACTAGTCTTTTTTTAATATTTTAAATTTTTTCAACTTTTATTTTAGATTCGGCGGGGGGTGGGGGGGGGTACATGTGTAGGTTTGTTACATGTCCTGAGTGTATTGCATGATGCTTAGGTTTGGAGTATGAATGATCCCGTCATCCAGGTACTGAGCAGAGTACCCAATAGTCAATTTTTCAATGCCCCCTTCTTCTTCCCCTTTATAGTGGTCCCCAGTGTCTATTGTTGCTATCCGTATATCCATGAGTATCCAGTGTTTAGCTCCCACTTGTAAGACCATGCAGTATTTGTTTTTCTGTTCCTGCATTAATTCACATAGGATAATGGCCTCCAGCTGCATTCTAGCTCCATCTGTGTTGCTGCAAAGGACATAATTTTGTTCTTTCTTATGGTTGTATAATGTTCCATGGTGTGTATACACTACATTTTTAAAATCCAGTCCATCATTGATGGGAACCTAGGTCGATTCCATGTCTTTGCTATTGTGAATAACCCTGCGATGAAAGTGCAAATGAATGTGTCTTTTTGGTAGAACAATTTGTTTTCTTTTGGATAGATACCCACTAATGGGATTGCTGGGTCAATTGGTGATTCTGTTTTAAGTTCTTTGAGAAATCTCCAGACTGCTTTCCATAGTGGCTGGATTAATTTACATCCACATCAACGATCAATTCCCTTTCCTCTGCAGCTTTACCAGCATCTGGTTTTTTTTTTGTTTGTTTTGTTTTGTTTTTGACTTTTTCATAATAGCCATTCTGACTGGTGTGAGATGGTATTTCATTGTGGTTTTGATTTGCACTTCTCTAATGATTAGTAATGTGAATGTTCTCATATGCTTGTCATATGTGTGTATGCCTTATGAAAAATAGCTGTGTACTTTGGCCACTTTTTAATAGGGTTGTTTTTTGCTGGTTAATTTGTTTACATTCCTTGTAGGTTCTGGATATTAGATCTTTGTCAGATGCATAGTTTGCAAATATTTTCTTCCATTCTGTAGGTTGTCTGTTAACCTGTTGATAGTTTCTTTTGCTGTGCAGAAATTCTTTAGTTGAATTAGGTTCCATTTGTCAAGTTTTGTTTTTGTTGCAATTGTATTTGGCATCTTTGTTATGAAATCTCTGCCAGGGCCTATATCCAAAATGACATTTCCTAGATTATATTCCAGGGTTTTCATAATTTTAGGTTTTGCATTAAAGCCTTTAATCTATCTTGAGTTGATTTTTTTATATGGTGTAAGGAAAGGGGTTCAGCTTCAATCTCCTGCATGGCTAGCCAGTTATGCCAGCACCATTTATTGAATAGGGAGCCATTTCCTCATTGCTTGTTTTTGTTGGCTTTGTCAAAGATCAGATGGTTGTAGGCGTATAACATAATATCTGGGCTCTGTATTCTGTTCCATTGGTCTGTGTGTCTGTTTTTGTACCAATACCATGCTGTTTTGGTTACTGTAGCATTGTAATATAGTTTGAAGTTGGGTAATGTTATACCTCTAGTTTTGCTGTTTTTGCTTGGGATTTCCTTAGTTAAGCACCTTTTTGGTTCCATATGAATTTTACAATAGATTTTTTTTTCTAATTTTGTGAAGAATGTCATAGGTAGATTTAAATAGCATTGAATCTGTAAATTGCTTTGGGCAGTGTGGTCATTTTGATAATATTAATTCTTCCTATCCATGAACATAAAATGTTTTTCTATTTGTATCATCTCTGATTTCTTTCAGCAGTGTTTTGTAGTTCTTATTGTAGGGCTCTTTTGCCTCCCTAGTTAGCTGTATTCCTAGGTATTTTATTTTTTGTGGCTATTGTGAATAGGATTGTCTTTTTTGATTTGGCTCTCAGCCTTGATGTTGTTGATGTATAAAAATGCTGCTAATTTTTGCACACTTATTTTGTGTCTTGAAACTTTGCTGAAATTGTTGATCAGATCTAGGTTTTTTGGGCAGAGACTATGGGGTTTTCTAGGTATAGAATAATATCTTCTGCAAACAAAGATAGTTTGACTTATTTCCTTCCTATTCGGATGCCTTTTATTTATTTCTCTGGTCTGATTGCTCTGGCTAGGACTTCTAGTACTGTGTTGAATATGAGTGGGGAAAGTTGGCATCCTTGTCTTGTTCCAGTTCTCAAGGGGAATGCTTCCAACTTTTGCCAATTCAGTATGATGTTGGCTGCGGATTTGTCGTAGATGACTCTTATTATTTGGAGGTATATTCCTTCAATACCTAGTGTTTCATGAGTATTTAACATAAAGGGATATTCAATATTATCAAAAGCCTTTTCTGCATCTATTGAGATGATCATGTGGTTTTTGTTTTTAGCTTTATATGGTAAATCACATTTATTGGTACATACATTTGTGTATGTTGACCCAAACTTGCATCCCAGGGATAAGGCCTACTTGATCATGGTGCATTAACTTTTTGATATGCTGCTGGATTTAGTTGGCTAGTATTTTGTTGAGAATTTTTGCATCTATGTTCATCAAGATTATTGTGTTGAAATTTTCTTTTTTTGTCGTGTCTCCATTAGGTTTTGGTATCAGAATGATGCTGGCTTCATAGAGTGAGTTAGGGAGGAATTTCTCCTTCTAAATTTCTTGGAATAGTTTCATTAGGAATGGTACCAGCTCTTCTTTATTCATCTGGTAGTATGTATCTGTGAATCTGTCTGGTCCTGGGCTTTTTCTGGTTGGTAGGCTTTTGATTGCTGATTCAATTTCAGAACGCTTTATTGGTCTGTCTAGGAATTTAATTTCTTCCTGGTTCAATCTTGGGAGGTTATATGTTTCCAAGAATTCATTTCTTCCAGGTTTTCTAGTTTGTGTGCATAGACGCATTTGTGGTAGTTTCTGGGAGGTTTTTTTTTTTTTTTTTGTAATTCTATGGAGTCTGGTAATATTTCCTTTGTCATTTCTGATTGCGTTTATTTGGATCCTCTTTATTAGTCTAGATGGTGGTCTATCAATTTTATTTATTCTTTCAAGAAACAAACTGCTAGATTCATTGATATTTTGTATGGTTTTTCACATCTTAATTTTTTTTTTTCAGTTCAGCTGTGATTTTTGTTGTTTCTTGTTTTCTGCTAGTTTTGAGGTTGCTTTGGTTTTGTTTCTCTAGTACCTGTAGGTGTGATGTTACATTGTTACTTTGAGATCTTTCTAACAGTTTAATGCGGGCATTTGGCGCTATAAACTTCCCTCTTAACACTGCTTTAGTTGTGACCCAGAGATGCTGGTATGCTGTATCTTTGAAAAATATGAAATGCCTCATGAATTTTTGTGTCATCCTTAAAGCAGGGCCATGTTAATATTCTCTGTATCATTCCAATTTTAGTATATGTGCTGCTGAAGTGAGCACAAGAATTTCTTTGTTCATTTTCTGCCCTGATGATCTACCTAATGCGTCAGTAGGGTGTTGGAGTCCCCCACTATTACTGTGCAGCTGTCTTTTTGCAGGTCTAGAAGTACTTGCATTATGAATCTGGATATCCCAATGCTGGGTGCATATATGTCTAGGATAGTTAATTCGTCTTCTTGAATTGAACACTTTATCACTATGTAATGCCCTTCTTTGTCCTTTTTTGCTGTTGTTGGTTTAAAGTCTGTTTTATCTAAGAATAGCAACTTCTGATCTTTTTTGTTTTCCTTTTGCATCATAGATCCTTGTTTCTTTATTTTAACTCTGTGGGTATAATTACATGTGAGATGGAGCTCTTGAAGACAGCAGATGGATGGGTCTTGTTTTTTGTTTGTTTTTGTTTTATTCCAACTTGCCACTCCACACCAGCTTTTTAGATGTGATATTTATGAAACTAAGAATGATGTGTTATTCTGAATCCTTTATCCATCTTGCCTTCATATGGTCAGTTGGAGTTTTCAGGAGCCTAGAAAACGCCATATCTTGGTTAGCAAAGATGTTTAATTTGCCCATCTTGGACTTCTATTGCGTATTAAACCTATTGTCATGGGTTTATCCTCATGAATAAGGTTCCAATAAATTTAATTTTAAAAAATCACCCGACACTTCCAAGAAGTCCCTATTGAAACATGAGGGAGCCACACCACAGGAAGTAAAACTGATGAGCAAAGGAAAAGCACTGCTTTCCAAAGTATTTAACCACAGCAAAGGGGCTCCAGAATGACAGTTTTGCCACAGTTGGTTTTGGGAGATGAGAAAGCCTAGGAGAAAATGTGGTTTTTGTTTTTCTTTGCATAGAGAAGCCCTTGGATGGCTTATAAGAAATGCGTATTTTTCCAAGTCTATGCTATTCTCTGGGTTAAAAAAAAAAGTCATTACTATGGTCTCTCTCTCTCTCTCTGTTTTACTATCTTTCCCTCAATTTCATTTTCATTTCAAATCCCCTGGAATATCTTCTTTCATCACACTTGCTGGAAATTTCAACAGGGATTAGTCAACGTTACAAAAGAAAGCTGTCTATGAGTACCTCAGGCAAAATGCCATCTTCTTTGAGAATATGTCTTCTACTAAAACATGAAATATTTTCCAGATTTCAAACTTAAGTCATCTCAACTTTTTCCTCTACTACCAGGAGCTACAACTTAATTACTAAATAATACCACTACTAGAAATTAATTACAGAGGATTTCATTAATTACTAGTGAAATTTAGGCCCTGACAGGAGATGATAAAACTTTTCATTTGAAGACTTATTGAAGTCCGTTGAAGGTGGTCATATTAATGCTGTGGAATACCCTGGACTAAAGATTTAATTAGAAACATCATTGTTAGGACATAGCTTCCCAGAAGTAGATACCTAAATGGGGACAGGAATCTTTTTAGGTAAAATATTTCCACACTTGTCTTTGCTCATACTACTGTCATATCAAATAAAGCCACCACTAACCAAGATTTCCAGGCTGGATAAATAAAAGATGACTGAAATAAACTTAAGGCATCTTGGGTGTCTTTTGTTTACTTGAAAAAATGATGATGGAAAAGAATATTTTCTCTTTTCTATTCAAATGTCTGGGGGATGTAAAACAGTATGGAATTTTCAGGGAACTTTAATACAATAATACAATATACTTGTGGAACGCAACCCAGATGTTGAGAGAGCATTGAAAGAGGGAATGTTGGGAAGTTTTTGGAGCTTCTAGATTACAAAGTTGGGACAGAAGTATCATGAAATGAAGAAAAAAATCACTCATCAGTTCTATATTCTATGAGACTATTATAATATGGGGCTCAATTATAACACCAAAAATTAAAACGTTGATTCATGGGCAATGAGAAGGGATTTTTAAATAGGTTAATTATCATGCCCAGGTTGTATTTTTTGGGAATATTAATTACTCACAGGTAGAAGATTGATATGAAAGAGAATAAGAGTAAGGGTGGAGGTATGTTGTATAGTTTGAAATCTCTTGGAAATGACAGATAGTTAGGGACTGAAATAAGCTAGTCATAAGGGGATACAGAGGCAGAAAGAGTGTACAATATGTTAGCCAGTTAGAATCAACAAGTGTGGCTGAGGAGATAAAGGAGAGGAATAAATTTAGCTGACTTCTAGTTCATGATTTGAGTGCTTGGGTGGATAGGTGATGGTGCCATCTACCAAGTTTGTGAATATACTAGAGGAAATAAAAATATTTGATAAGTGATACAGTAAGGTCTGATTTTGATCATTTGAATTCAAATTACTCTGAGGTTTCCAGGTAGTGATGTCCAGAAGAGTTGATGAAGGTGACTGGGGCCCAGACGAGAAGCCTGTACTGGGATAGAGATTTGTCAGTCATTTGCTTACAAACAATATTTGAAACTATGGGTACTGATGAGTCACTTAGGGTTACATTAGCCCTAAATAACCCACTGTATGTTATTTACATACAGGGAGAAGAGAAAACAGACAAAGAGAGTTCCTTGGGCTCTCCAGGACATAAAGGGTGGACATAGGCAAAGAGCCTGAAAAGGAGAGGAGTTCTGGTTTAGCAATTTCCAATGTGTTTGACTTAGCACTGTGTACTGAAGTACTGGGATATACCATGTTATACCAGGAGACCATATTGCCTCTAATTTTGGGATTCAGAATCTCAAACAGGATCAGCCAGAATTTGCTGGGGACATATTTTTTAATATTTCGTTTTTTCAGAGAACCTAGCCTCATAGTTATGAAACTTTGAAAGTAGAAAGTAGAAGGGGGGAAACTCTCTTGAAAGAATTAAAATATTAAGATTCTCAATCTTTTTCATTTTTTAACCTTTAGGGATCACCAACATAATTTCAGGGAGAAGCCAACCTACTGAAAGTAAAACAGGTGAGCATGGGGAATTGAAAAAGGTGAGGATGGGAAAGGCCCTCGTTCATGATGCTAACTTGGAAAAGAAAGATCCCAGAGGACTGAAGCTAACCAAAATGAACACTATAAAACGGGGAAAACCATGTTTAGTTTACCTCTTGGGAAAGGAATCCTGGAGAAGGAATGCATTGTCTCACAGAAACACATGGATTTGTTCTAAACCATGATTTCTATCCTATCAGACACTGCTCATATTACCCCCTCTTCCTTCTCCCTCTCATCCAAGGCTACACAGTGACAGGCTCTGGGACAACAACCTTACCTGGAGGTTTCAGAACAGGTAAGTCAAGTAGTGAAAGGAATTCTCCTTTAAATGGCTCTCAGTTAGCAGTGTAATTGGATTGTTTGTGGCTCAATGGATGGATACCCCATTCTTAATGATGTTCTTATTTCACATTGCATGCCTGTAACAAAACATCTCAGGTACCCCATAAGTATATACATTTACTATGTATGCACAAAAATTAAAAACATTAATAAAACTAGTAAATTATCTCATAACAACATCATCTATTGCCATATCATTTTCATGTTGACAAACTCTCCATCTTTTCCACTTTTCTTAAGTTGCTCTTACAGAGGCCACAACTTTTAAAGGTTATGTTGGAACCACTGAAGCAGAAATTTCATCAGGTGAGTTTTTTCACATTTTAGATTCTCCACGATTTTTCCATTTGAGTTTGCTACATACAGATTTTGAATGAAAATGAATGTGGCTGGAAGGTGGTTGCTTTCCCTTTAATAAGAGATCATGAGGCCAACCTAGATCAATTCTCTGATTTTTCCAAGATATATTGTAGATGTATTAATAATTATCTAGACACATCCTTTCTTTACTCCCTTGGTCTTGTCAGGCAATACCCCAGGATCAACAGGAGTCACCAGCAGCCAAGAAGGTGAGATTACTATAATGGATGCAGGTAATTTTGCTGATTAAGAGATTATTCAATAGATGCAGGTAATTGTGCTGATTAAGGCTTTGATTTAGATATTTAACCTTTGATCACAAGTTTACACACACTTTGTTTTCTGGTTTTCTTTCTCTGGAGTACTTGTCCGTTTTCTTACATTTACTGTAGAAAATTTTTACTGGAGGTAAATCATGTGCGTATAAGAAACACATTCTCAAATTTAGTAATTGAAGTCTGGATGATTCTAGATCTAGAGAAATGAGATATATGAGGCAATTGTGACTTTCCTCTCCCATATTTCCCTTGAACATACAATTATGAAAGAGTCAATTGGAAAACATGCTAGGCTTAGCATTTAGTGCAAGAAAACTTGTTAAATTGTTTTCTGTTGCTTCAGAGAAACCAGGTTATGTGGAAAAGCCATACATTTCCGATGATGGGAAAGGCGTTGTGTCCTTCCCTCTTATTACAGGCACCACTGAGGTAGCCTCTAGCATAATTATTTCTGGAAGTTCAAACACAGGTATGTAAATATTTAGTAGGTAGCTACAAGAACCTAAGGCTAGAAAACTAAGATCCCTTCTGTGGAACTGACTGTAGCATCCACACATCAATTCCTACCTCATTCTTCTTTGCCTTTCTTAGGGTTAAATGAGTGTCTGTCAGTAGTTAAATCTGTTTAACTCCACTGGGTTCTCATTAATGACTCCTATCCATTGCTTCAGCATAGGGAAATATTGGGGGTAAAGATAAGACTCAGGAAGTTCCATTAGGGAATTTACATTTCCTAGCCATCTATGGTTGTTTTCTTGTTTTGGGGTTTCTCAGGCTCATGCCAGAGTCCCCAGGTCAGGCTGTGAAGGCACACAGGGCACCACTAAAGGAGAGAGCAGACACTGAAATCCATGAATTCTCATCTGTCCAGAGGAGTTATTTCTGTGTCTGTAATTCACAAGGTGCCCTGTGGGCTAGCTGCAGTACTGGCCCAGAATGTCATCTGAGTTGCTTTCTCTTCCTCATGTTGATCTCCGAGGATAGGAATAAGGGCTGTGGCTGATATGAATTTGCCCTCATTTTCCTTTGCAGGCACCACTGTAATATCAAGTGGAATCACTGGAATCTCAGAAACTTCCATCACAGGTAATATAAATTATTGTCTCAAATGAAGACTACATGCTCAACATTTCTGTGTCTTTAACACCAAAGTAAGTGCTGTTTACAAAGTCAATACAGATAGGCAGTATTTATCTCTATGAATGAATGTCACACTTCAACTGCAAAATAAAATTGCACCAGATGTAGTTAAACAGGCAAAGAAGACTTTGTTCAAGACTATTACAGTAAGTGTCAAAACCATTGCAACAGGGGAGAGAGACTGAACTCAGCTCTGATAAAGCAAAAGGCAGGAGAATTGTTTAGTGCTTGGCTAAGCTAGTGGAAAAGTAATGAAGAATGTTTGGAGAGACTTCGACGTATACGATTAGGCCATCTGTGTTTGGTAATTGGCACTTAATCAGGTCAAAGTTAGGCCCCTGCCCTCCCACAGAGATTGGGAGATAGAGACATTATTTTTCTTGATAATTATATTTCAAAAGAGTGGCTGTCAGGTCCTTGAGAAAGATATTTATGAATTGTAAGATTGACAAGAGAGTGGAAGAAGATTTACATCTCAAAGGGGCAGAGGAAGAATTTAAAAGTAAGGCAAGTTTTCTAAAGTAAATAAGAAAAGGAAGGTTAAGAGCCAATAGCTAGGAACAAACCTGTCTAAAATGTAGTTAAGCTAAGGGCAACATTAGGTCTCTCATTTTCTCATTTTTTCCCACTCTCTCCCTCCAAAATTAATACAGGAGAACCAAGAAACCAAGTTACATGAAGAGTTAAGCGTGAGAAAAACTCTTGTCATTTAGAGAAGGGGCACCAGAAGTGAAACATGTATAGAGTAAAGTGTGAGAAAAGCTCTCATCACTTAGAGAAAGGAAACCGACAAGAGAAACATGTATCAGGGTCAAAGAAGAATCTTCACTTCACCTCTGTGAACAAGGGATTGCTACAATAGGAAGTTCTTAGTGTTTCCACGGCAGGGGCGTGAGCTAGCATTAGTAGATGTGTTAGTGTATTCCAACTGCTTTGAGACTCTTGTTCCACGTGGAGGTGTCTTAAGTAAATGCTCTTCTGAGATCAGAAAAAGTGTATTGCTCTTCCCTTGCTCGTTTTAGGTCCTTCCAAGGAAGCATCTAACGAAACCACTGCTCCTGGACCTCCTACCACAGGTAAGTCAAATAGTAATAAATGCATTTGTCTCGGTGGCCCCTCAGAAGACAGGATAGCTTATCTGCAGTTCTCACAGAAGCAAAGAGTAGAATGATGGTTACCAGTGGTTGGGGTAGTTGTATATATGGGGAGGGGTATGGTGGGGAGATGTTGGTGAAAGGATACAAGATTTCATTTAGACAGGAGGAGTAAATTCAAGAGATCTATTGCACAAGATCGTGACTATAGTTAATAATATATTCTTGAAAAGTGCTAAGAGGGTGGCATAATGTAGTTCTTCAGAACATCATGTACAAAATACATAGTTTTTTTTTCTGTCCATCTAAAACATGAAGAATAAAACATTTTTTTAAAATGAAGTTAAGCTCTAGCTTCTCCAGTTCCCTGTACTCACCACTTTTGTTCCTTTTTAAGCAGTCACTGCTTCCACAGGAGTCAAAATAACTTCTGGAACTGGAGTGCAAACAGGTGAGTATTCAGTGTGGCTTTGATTATACATAAGAAGTTGAGTTAGGAGGAGAGAGGTAGGAGAGAAGTGAAAGACCGAGGCCAGGATGATGGCATTCAACTTCCTCTTAGAACACAACTTTGAATTTATACTAAGGATACCTTTCTTTTTTTTCCCCCTCTCTGGGAGTTTTTGGTTTAGGTTTTCACTGGGGCTCCCCTCCTAAAGACTTCTTCATGCAGATTGAGAATTCTGAGCAGGGTATTATGAAGGGTGCTAGTCCTAAAATGTCTTACATTTCCTTTTGCGAGGCTCCACCTTGGTTCCAGCTGGAGTGCCAACAAGACCACAAGTACGCCAGTCAGGTAAAATCAGATGACCCAAATGAACTGGAATAACTTGTCTGTTCCACAAAAAGCCTTCCTTGAGTATGAATTTGTGCCATCATTTGGGCATGTACATAAACACAGACTTGATATGTGTAGGTTATTCTAATTTTTAAAATCACAATACCATCCATTTATTTCCTCTCAGAAACCACTGTCGTGGCAACCAGAGAAGTAGAAACTGAAAATAAAACAGGTCAGTATAGGAAAAGCCCTAATTTCTTTGTTACTATGTCAACTAATATTTCTTTAGTACCTTATATGTGCTAAACTCTCTAGCAGACATTAAAAGCAAAAACATCAGCAGGATGCAGCACTTGCCATTTTTTATTCTGTGTGTGTGGGAGGAAGATATTATTTTGGGCACAGATAGTATATATTTAATGATACCAAAAATATGCACAAAATATGTGGTTCCGGGGGTGGAGTGAGAGTAGTGTTAATTTCTGCTTATTAATTGGTAGTGTGGAGTAAAGGCATGAGAAATGGCATGATTGAGTTTAACATTGGCATGGATGGGGAGGGTATTCCTGCCAAACAGCCCTGGAAAAGATAAAGATATAAGACCTCATGGGGGAGTTCAGGAATCAACCAGATGTTGGCAATGACTGCGTAAGGTTCAGGGAGGAAATGAGAGCAAAAATGTAAGTAGAGGAAATTTTATGAAGAACCAAACTTCAACAAGGCTTTATCCTTATAGTAATGGGATACCATTAAGGATTTGATCAAGAGCCTGACATGATCAGATAGTTGAGAAATTACTCTGATACAAATGTGGTGATTAGGAGACTGTTCTCTGTGGCTCCTCTTACAAATATCTCCAACGAACGCTTGCAATCCTGGTCAGGGAATATTTTCTCTTGTATTCATGCCTAATTGATCTTTTTTCTCTCTTGTTGCTGGTTTCTGTTACTTTGCTAAGCATCCATAATTAGCACCTGGCTTAGTCTCCCTACGTAAAGAGTTGGAAATATTTGATTACCCAAATTTCCATACCTTTAATTCATTTTGTAATCTATATTTTGGGCCTATTAGTTGTTGGGATCACTTTACCTAAACATGTAGAAATTTTAAGTTCTCTTCAAATATTCTGTTGCTCCTAGGTCAGCCTTTTTCTTGGTAGGTTGAGATATATATACACACACACACACACACATATACACACATATACACACATATGTATACATATATGTGTGTGTATGTGTGTGTGTATATATATACACACACACATATATCTCAACCTACCAAGAAAAACGTGTGTGTGTGTGTGTGTGTGAGAGAGAGAGAGATATATATATATACATATTTAAACAGAATCTTGCTCTGTTGCCCAGGCTGGAGTGCAATGGCATGATCTCGGCTCACTGCAAGCTCTGTCTCTTGGGTTCAAGCGATTATCCTGCCTCAGCCTCCCTGGTTGCTGGGACTATAGACAAGCACCACCATACCCATCTACTTTTTGTATTTTTAGTAGAGATGGAGTTTCACCATGTTGGCCAGGCTGGTCTCAAACTCCTGGCCTCAAGTGATCTGCCCACCTCGGCCTCACGAAGTGCTGCAATTACAGGCGTGAGCCACTGCGACTGGCCAGATTGCATAAAATATTCATTTTGTTTTTAGAAGTTTCGGAATAGAGTTTGAAATTTATGAGTGAATTGTTGGATTGACCAAAATATATGATGTGTAAAGGCTAAAAAAGATACATATTGCCAGTTTAAAGCATTTGTTGGGGGAGAAGATAGAGCAAAATTGAAGTATTTCAAGAAGATAAGGAGAATAAAGGTTTTTAAATGACTAAAACTGGGTAATTAATACTCATTTTATACTGTAGCAGAATTATCATTTTCCCTTTTTAAATCTTTTTGTCCTATTCATTAGAACTGCCTTCAAAAAATTTTGAAGAGTTTACTTTGATGTTTTCTCCTTTTGATACTTATATTTTTCTCTCATTAAAATATGAGGTCCAAAGGAAACACTGTACAATGGAATTTCAAATGCAGCGAGGAGCAGGACGGGGAGATAGATGGGAATATATCTATTTGTAAGACTAGCTATGTAGACAATTATTTTCAGCAATAGAATAATGAATTAGATAACTATACTTGCCACAATACTATTCCAGTAACTTCAGAGACTAACTTGAGGTTCCTGTCTTTACACAGAATGTCTAGCCTCACTTCCACCTGCTCCAGGTAAGAGTACCACGACTTCAGAATTGCTCTGCATTAATGGCTACTCTCGTCAATCAAATTTCAGAGGTCCTGCTAATAAAAGTCACCAGCCATGGAAATGTTATAAAATAGGAAAACATGTATTGGATTAACTTAGCTTTTATTCCCCTAATAGTGAGTAAATAGTTCATTTCCTCCTTCACAAACCAATGAAACCAAACCAAACAAATATACCTTGTTACTCAGATCAAAACAAGGTTTACCTACTAAATGTTTCATATAATTATGATACCTTAACCAAAATATTGTCACTTGATAGTAAGCATCTTTTTAAACTAGATAATTTCAACTTGAGGGATGAGCTATAGTAGAAAAAAATCCGTTTAGCCAGAGTTAAGTAATTTTAAGGAACTTTGTAGCAAGTAAACAAAATTACTAAAAAATATGCAGCCATAAAAAAAGGGTAAGTTCATGTCCTTTGTAGGGACATGGATGAAGCTGGAAACCATCATTCTCAGCAAACTATCGCAAGGACAAAAAACAAAACACTGCATGTTCTCACTCATAGGTGGGAATTGCACAATGAGAACGCTTGGACACAGGGTGGGGAACATCACACACTGGGGCCTGTCGTGGGGTGGCACGAGGGGGAAGGGATAACATTAGGAGATATACCTAACGTAAATGACGAGTTAATGGGTGCAGCACACCAACATGGCACATGTATACATATGTAATAAATCTGCACGTTGTGCACATGTACCCTAGAACTTAAAGTATAAAAAAATAAAAATAAATAAATAAAATAAAAAAGTAGTCAGATCTTCAAAAAAAATTACTAAAAAATAATTCTCTGACCTTAGTACATAGTGGGAAAAGGAAGGTCTTCAGAGAAATAGCAAATTTAATATCAGGCAGAAAATAAATTTCAAAGTAAAAATATAAACTATGTATTATATATAGAGGGCATATTGTCTGTCACTTGTGTTGTATATTTTAAGGTATCTCCAGGAATTTCTTTACAATATTGATATTTGAGAACACAAACAGACCAGTCCAGGGCATGTAAATGAGAGAAGTGAGATAAAGTTGAGACGGTCAGTTTGAGTCACAATATGAGAGCCTTCGAAAGCTAGACTGCTAGAATAAAGTGTTTGTTTATACACAACTATAAGGGACCATCAAAGTAGTAATGAGATGAGAATTAGGCTTTAGAAAAATCACGTTACCTGATTGGATCAGAACGAGATATGAGTCAGAGTAATCCCCTAAAAAAAACCAGTAGAATATGCTAGATCAAAAACGTAGTAAGATCTTGGAGTGGCATTGTAGCAAGTAGAATACGGAAAGGAAGAAATGAATGTGAGATACAGGATTTGGCAGTAGATTTGATGCCAGTGATAGAAGGAAGAACTCAAATGGCTCCTTGATTTTAGCTTGAATGATTGAAAGTATAGTTCTATCTGTAGAGAAGGAAGCCAGTCTAGAAGAGAAGCTGGTTTTGGGGGGAAGATGATACAATCTGTTGTGTGCACATCGAGTTTTGGGTTTCTATGGGTCTGCCAGGATTCTGTCTAGAGGTAGAGAGAGAACTGGCTCCAAAGCTATGAGAGAGATCTGGGCTGGAGCTGGACATTTTAGAGTCATTCTTTTGATGTTACGGTGCACATTGTGGAGATAGGGGAAAGAGTTAGAGGCAAAATGAGAGGGAGTAAGACAAACTGCCAGTGAAGACAAAAATTTCAGAGTATTAAATCTGAAGAAAGGAGAACATTTTTCAAGAAGGTAAGAATGAACAATATCAACTATGGCAGATAACTTAAACTGAGAAAGGGCCCTTGGGTCTGGTAATTATGAAGCCATGGTGACTTGTAGGATTGGAAAAGCAGAAGTCAGACTGCAAAACAGTAAGTCAGTTAGTAGCCATAAGATTGATTGACCACTGCCAGGAGAAATTAAGAATTATGCTTTGCTGAGATTTATAAAAATAGGATATGCCTGTTGGTAACAGTTTGCTTAAAGCAGGTGGACTTGATTTTATTCACCTTAAGGCACCATAAAATCTTGTATAATTCTGTGACTCTGAAATCCTAATGCCAGTTACAGTATTGGCCACCTGGTGGTTATCTATAAATAACAGATGGTTATATTTTGCCAAATTTAATTACCATTTATCATTTATGTTAACAGTTTGTCACGGTCCACTGGGAGAAGAGAAATCTGTAAGTACACAGTTTTGCTCTACTTTAATCCAAATGTGCTCTAATTCCTGTATTTGAATAGAAGTCTAAACTTGGTTTGTATATGTAGCCTGGAGACATATGGACTGCCAATTGCCACAGATGTACCTGTACTGATGCAAAGACTATAGACTGTAAACCTGAGGAGTGCCCTTCTCCACCCACATGCAAAACCGGTGAAAAGCTTGTGAAGTTCCAATATAATGACACCTGCTGTGAAATTGGATACTGTGGTGTGTATTCATAATACATTATTTTAATTGAATATGTTCATTGGTTGTTTATTAACATATTCAAGAGATACTTTTTGAGCTACCAGTTTTGTCAAACATAATACTAGACAGGTGTAATAAATAGTACAGAATTAGTATAATAATATTTGTGTTCTTAAAACTTACCATCTTCAGAATGGGGGACACCCAGAATTAAGTTATGAATATAATCAGTAAATTAAAGGAAGACTATGATATTATGGGTAGAAATATTACAGTTGGTTGCTATGTATGATCTCATCTGCAATTTCTGTTTTATAAATAGAATTATAGTATTTTAGAATAAAACAATATATTTATTTTTCAGAACCAAGAACATGTTTGTTTAACAATACTGACTATGAGGTAAGGTCTTTTCTTCATTAAAATGTTCTTGTTAATTATATGAATAAATTTAATACTCGACTATATTAAGGGACTTTCAGCCTATTTTATATATATAATATATGTAAGTGTATATATTATGTATATAAAAGAAATTACATAATAAATATATATGTATGTATATATATATTTTTAACCCTACTAACAACGGATTGGAATCCATTCATTTTTTTCCCTACACCCACTTCCAAAGGAACATCAAATGTAACACTCACCAGGACTCTTCAAAGGAGGAAAACATAATTCTTGATCATTAACTACTCAGCAGTAGAGCTTCTGAACAAAATTTCCCATGGGCCTTGCCAGATGGAGAAGACATACTTTGTAACATTCAAATCAATGAACAGAGTCAAACTGTAATTATAACCAGAAAGATCAGATGGTCAAGCTGTTCAGAGATCAAATAAGAAAACCCAAAGGGCTAGAACCCTATTATGCAGCTACAGCAACACAATATATTCAAGGCTGGATTTTGACAACTAATTTGACATTTTGGACAGTAATTTAACTTTTTAGAAAAAAGTATAACGAAGCCATAAAAATCAGATGATTCTCAAATTGATATTAACATACTTGAAATGGTGATAGTAAATATTAAAAAATCTAAAATGAAATATATGTGGTATATTAGGCAATAGATAAAACATCCTATGAGAGTTTTACTTTGATAACCCATTTATCACACTCACATTTCTACCTGGACTTCTTAAATTTTTAGTTTTCAAAGTTGATCTGACTTGAACCTGTGGTAGCTTTTTAACAAAAAATATGATGATATTTAAGAAACAAAAGGAAAGTTTTCTTCTGATCATTTATAGTAAAATTCCAACTTATCAGAAAGTTCATCTTGTCTGAGGCCGTGAAATAAATGTAGTTTCTCAAACTGTTGTTTGAATATTTAACATAAGCTAATTATAAAGTGACAGCAGAGAGCTTTAAAAGTATAGGAATATAGGCCAAGATAGAAGCAAGACATCTTGTGAGACTTGTCATTTGTTTTAATATGATAAGCCTATTTTGTGCCATTTTTCCCCCACTTAAATTTCTCGTTTCCCCTTAAGCTTAGAACATAACAATTAAGTGCTTGATCACTATAAAAAAACCTGTCTTGAAAATTTCTTGAAAATATAATAGAGTATCTGTTGGTGAATCTTCATTTGAGGATTGAGAATCTTGACACATTTTGTGTCTCAATGAACAAATTTGGTTTATTCATGGAAGTGAAAGACTTTCAAACCATCTTTTCTTTACTATTAACCTAATGACAAAGTGCCTCTGGAAAATCACTAAACATGAATTTGAATTTTTAAACTGATATTCTTGCAAACCTCTAAAAGAAATCAAGGTGAATAATTATTTTGTTTTCGTCCTCCTCTTTTCCTCCCAGATTGGTGCTTCATTCGATGACCCCAGCAACCCCTGTGTCTCCTATTCCTGCAAAGACACTGGCTTTGCTGCAGTAGTCCAGGACTGCCCAGAGCAGACCTGGTGTGCAGAAGTAAGTCATCTTAACTAACGAACACTGAGGTTCAGTTCTCATATCAAACCCTGGCTGGGCGCAGTGGCTCACACCTGTAATCCCAGCACTTTGGGAGGCCGAGGCGTGCGGATCACCTGAGGTCAGGAGTTCGAGACGAGCCTGGCCAACATGGTGAAACCTTGTGTCTACTAAAAATATAAAAATTAGCCAGGCGTGGTTGCAGGTGCCTGTAATCCCAGCTACTCAGGAGGCTGAGGCAGGAGAATCGCTTGAGCCCAGCAGGCGGAGGTTGCAGTGAGCCGAGCACTGCACTCTAGCCTGGGGAACAAGAGTAAGACTTCCTTTCAAAAAAAGAAAAATCAACCTGTCTTCAATCTCATTAGAAAATATTTGCGTCTGGCTAGCAGACATAAATATCTGGTAGATCGATAGCTCTTTAAACAAATGCATTATATCCAGAGCCCTGGTGATTCCAGACATGCTCATCTTTTATTGTTAAGTATATAGTTTTTTTCATATCAAGAAAGGCTCTCATGTTTTGCAGGCTTTATAAAACTTAATTTAGTGCTCATCTAGAAGGAGTCAGTTATTATAGAAAGCATTTTGCTATTTCTAAACTAAAAAACTCACTAACTTTTAAAAATAGCTCAAATAATCATCTATAAGGATACCAATTTTTCTATATAATCATGTCTGGGTACTTTAGATCTTTCTTTGTGTCACAGTTTTCTCCATTTCTGTGCTCCCCAAGTATGGCTGAGTTTTATATTAATGAATGCTTAAGTTTCAATTATTAAGGGAGGTTTAAGTTATCATTTTTCTTTCTGAAGATATAATTGATAATATGGTTTAATGTTTTATTTTCGAGCTCTAATACCGGATTTCAATATTTATCATGCTTTTACTTTGTTATAATTTTAAACCTATCAATTTCTCAAAGGTGCAGCTTCTAATTGTGAGTTTCTAGTATGTAGTAGTAATATTATTGTTAAAGCATTTTTCAGTAAGTGAGAAATAATCTAATATTATTTAATGTTATCTTTAACAAGAATTTAGTTTAAAGCTTATTTTTCCTTTGCCCATTGTTGAAAAATTTTAGTCATATTTTTATTACTAAGCTGATGTCTCTCCTCTCCTACCTTTTGCTTACTAGATCTGGGGTAAGATTGTCCATCTGTTCCATTTCCTCTTTGTGATGTGATGCATTTTAACCAATTAAGAAGTGTTGTATTATTTGCAGAAAAATTTAGAACAACGTTTCTCGTTTTTATCTTTTTTCTTACCCCTACAGGAAGACAGAATCTATGATTCCAAAAAATGTTGCTATACATGTGAGTAAAGTTAAGTTCTGCACAGAGAAAAATGTAAGCTGTTGACAAAAGTTTAATTTCTTTAAAACAAAATGGCAGATCATTAAGAGAAAGTATCTTGTATTTTTAACACAACAGGTAACCTAGCCTATCTGTGTAAACTTCCACTGGATATTTGTACATAATGTATTATGGCTATGTATTCATGTTGACTGCAACATTCTTCTCAGTAAAAAACAATGTTTACAAGGGAACAAATGTAATTGTCATGGAAAAGATTAGCTTGTTCTTTTGACATCAGCAAGTTGTATTGTAAATGGTGTATTAGATCATAAGGATAATCAGTGATGAGAAAATGGATGTCAAAAATAATTCATCCACCCCTGTTTTTGATGGATGTCAAAATAATCCGTCTGCCCATTTCTTCCCCTCTCCCTTCCTCTTACTTCTCCCCTCAACCCCTTCACCTGTGATAGTGTGATAGTGATAACAGGAACAAGATACCAGTAATCTGAGTATTAACCAGCTACCTTGTAATGGTGCTGAGATGGTTAATCTCCTCAATCATGTTGTGAAGTAGTTGCTATTATTTATAGGTTAAGAAAATGGAGGGTTAGCAATTGTTAATGTTAAACCTCACTTCTGACTCTCTTTTCCTTTTCGTTTTAGGTAAGAATAATTGCAGATCTTCCCTTGTGAATGTGACTGTTACCTACAGTGGTTGCAAGAAAAGAGTTCAGATGGCAAAATGCGCAGGGGAATGTGAAAAGACTGTCAAGTGAGTTCTTTGAATGTGTATCGTGTGTTAACTTTGTAACCTTGTGGAGAAAATGAACCTTTTAAAATATTACATGGAAAAACTTTTATGTGAGGGCAATACTATTTTGTTATAAGGACCAAATGAAAGAAGGATCTAAAATATTAAGATCTGAGAACTAAAATATTCACTTAAAATAGTGATGAGTCATTCCGAAGTAGTTTTCTAAATATGCCAAGCATGATACCTTTGTAACAAATGTACTCATCTTCATACAGTGACTACAGAAAATATTTAAGCAAAGAAGTGAATTTCTTGAATTACTTACACTTGAAATTTAGATAGTATGTTTTTCCTTTATGTACACTTTTATGTATAGATTAATATAGAGATAATAATCTCATATTAAGTTATATTTAACATTTTATTTAGTTTACTTTTTCACCATAATGCTCCGATTATGAGATTATAACTTCTTTTCAGATTTCTTATCACTGAGCAACATCAGAGCTTTACAGTGACAGGGGAAATGCAAGGTCTAGAAAAAGAATAAATTGGTTACAAGGCTTGCTAAGTCACTTAGACAATTACTGTTTGAGTAATGATGTCAGTTTATCTTTAAAATTCTAAAAATGTTTATTACAGAATTTTTCTTTTAGGTACAATTATGATACCTTACTCTTGGAACATTCATGCCTTTGCTGCCGAGAAGAAAACTATGAACTCAGAGACATTGTACTTGACTGTCCTGATGGGAGTACAATCCCTTACCAATACAGGCATATCACAACCTGCTCTTGTTTAGACATATGCCAACCATATACGACTTTCACGTACAGTTAATGCTGACATCACCTTCCCAGTTTTAACAGGCCTGGTATTTATTTTATAAGTGAGGAAAAATAATCATTAAAATAGTGGGAATAACTAAACATTTGTATCTCACTCAAAACAATGAGTTCTCATTATGAGGAATTTTGCTCTCTCGTGGACTGGATCTGAAAAATAAACACAACCTGACAAGCAATTCATGAGCAAGGGTGTTTATTTTACAGCAAAACGAATTCTGCAAGTGTAGCAGAAACTGGGTCATATCATGACTCTTCAATATATTTTCCTTTTATCCTTCAGCTTCTTATGTCCTTCTCCTGTTTCATTTCCTTCACTTATTGAAAATGTAGACTTGGTTTTCTTTTCTCACTTCCTATGCCAGTTGCATCACTTCTCCCATCGTACTACAACTCCTCCTGCTAGGACACTAGTGACCTTCTTATAATTCTGCCTACAGGGTCTGACAGCGTTTCCATTCTTCCTTTCTTGAGACATTTTTCTCCTTGTTTCTATGACATCATTTCTTTTTTCTTTCTGTGACATCATTTAAAATTAATGCTCCTACATTGTGTGGACAGCTTTATTTCTGCCAGTCCTCTAAAGTTTAGTTTTCCAGTTGCATCCTGTTCTGCTTGTCATTTTACTCAGTCCTTGTGCAATTTCATCAATATAAGCAGATGTATTTACACGTTGAGGATTTCCAGTCTGTATCACCAACCTCAACCTCTGAGTTTCAGACACATTGATACAACTTTGAATTTAACACCTCTCACTGGATGCTCTATAGGTACCACAAACTCAGCAAGACCAAAACCAAAATAAATATCTTTCTCTATCTAACTCAGTCCTGTGCTTGTATATTGTGTACCAGTGAAGTAGGTAGCTAAAAAGAGAGATTAGACTGAGGCAGGCAGATCAAGAGGTCAAAGAAATCGAGACCATCCTGGCCAACATGGTAAAACCCCATCTCTACTAAAAAATACAAAAATTAGCTGGGCATGGTGGCACGCGCCTGTAGTCCCAGCTACTCAGGAGGCTGAGGCAGGAGAATCACTTGAACCAGGAGGTGAGAGGTTGCAGTAAGCCAAGATCGCACCACTGAATGCCAGCCTGGTGACAGAGCAAGTCTCCATCCAAAAAAATAAAAAAGGGAGAGGTTGAGGTTGACTAATATTATGGCTGTCATCTTTAATACATTCTACTGCCTTGCTATTTCACACACATCCTTCTTCCTGAACATATATATTCAAATGTGCCTTGGATAAATGATTTACATAGGTAAAATGTGTGCAGTTATTAACACTCTTACCCCCTTCCTAACATGAAGGCAAACCCAAATTATCATAACCTATTGATGAACCAGTTCTTACTTTTCTATATCACTTTGACTAGTGGTAAATTTAACTATCATCAAACACTGTATGTCTAATGGTGGAGAAGAAAATAGATGTGTTAGTATATTGGTAATTGCCACCAAAGGTGGATAACAATTCCTTATGAGTGGGCATTACAGGTCGCACTTCTACAGCCAGTCCCAAGGCCTTTGGCTTTCCTCTATGTCTATCACTGGTTGCAGGTTTTCCTTCCTCTCAATGCATACCAGAGTTCATCATCTCACGAAATGAGGAGCTTGAGCCCTTGAAAATCCAAATGGCTGTGGTTGCAGGAGTTTCTTTAATAGCTTTTACCTCAGGAAATAGTAGATAGAGCACAGAGTCAACATTATACCCACATTACAGTCCTTACCACGTGGTAGCAGCTCTATTTTCACCTAATAGAATTAATCATCCCAGATAATAAGCTGACAGCATTTTCTGCTTAGTAAGCCTGCTTTAGACTTATGAGAGACCCCAAATGGCTAGCTGGGAGTTTCAGAACAAGGGAGATAAAATGAACGTCGATTTCTGGTCCAGCTAATATATTACATCCTGCCAACAGCACACCAACTTCACAGGGTAGTATCCCTCAGCTGGTATCAGAGTGGAGGGCTCAGTAGGCTAATCTTTAAGGTTTACCATCTGTGAATAATAAAGTATAATACATTTATTGATGTATGTATGCAACTTTCTTTTCTTTGATTTGATGCCGTATGAACTTTTCTTCACTTGAAAATAAATTCCTTTGGTTAGAAGCAGTGCTGCACAGCATTTCACGGCATGAATAAAGTATTCAATAAGCCTATAGATAGAAGTGCTAGTCTAGGCGTATTAGACATAAAAAGGAAATGCCAATCCATACTTGGGTATCTCAGAGAAAATAAATGCTGTCTTCCCACCACCAGAAAAGGATCAAAGTTGTCTCCTTTTTACCAAGTATCTGAGTGACATGATAGTATGAAAATGGAAGATCACTGTCTTCCATTTATATCACAGTACCATGATTATTGGCATGGTGGTATCCCAAGTGGCTTCAGTGGAGGGAATTTAAGCTGCTGAACCCATGTATGACCCTCATTCCTGCTACAATTGCTACCTTCTTCTTTAAGCATCCACTTACGTTCAGGTATGGATATATTCTGAATTATTCATACAATTCCCCCAACCCTTCTTGACATTCTCCATTTTTTCTCTCCTCAAGTCCTGGGCTATCTATACAAATTATTTGCTGTGTCTGAGAAATCAGTGTGAATCCTGACTTCAGGCCAATCTTCTGCCAAGCACAGTGGCTATAGAGAATTTTCCTTTACAGTTGTTGTTCACAGCACTCCTGAGGTAGGCTCACTTTTCACTGACACCGGGTCTGTAGGCAATCTAGCTTTGAGTCTTTTCATCCTGTGTTAAATGGTTATAAGCAATTCCTCCTCTAAGCAAAAGGCATTAATTCAGAGAAATGTGGCAGCCAGATAGTAGTGCATTGTGAGCCTTAAGAAATGATTGCTTGGATCTGACCTTCTGACTTGTGCCTTTGAGACCTGAATGGACTCTATTCTGTATATATGACTTTGGATTGATGATGGATTGCTGCTGAGAATGCCCAAATCTATGGCAACATAGAAAAGCTAATGCCCCCTCCAGGATGAGGGGTTTTGGTTCACAGTCACCTGTTATTTTAGTATTGACAGAAAGCTAGTATTTGCTGAAAATAGAAGAACTGCCTCAGGAGGTAGCATGGTCTTGCTCCCAAAGCTCTGAAGCTGCTATTGCTATGACCATTTTACGACTTGTCATTGGCCCCTCTGCTAGGTTTTACTTTTCTGTTACAGATTCTTCTAGAACCATTGGATCAACACAGATTATGAGTTAAACATTGAGGTAGCTTTTACCAAAACCTCTATAATCTGAACTGATCTTATATTTTGTCTGAGTCACTCTAGAGTTATCAGGTCTTAGGTCATCCAGTGAGTAGACCTAAGAAAGACATTTATATCCGTATAGGTTTCTTGATGTTTCCAAAATCCAAAATCCAAAATCCACTAATCCATCAATCTTGATGTTTCCAAAATCCACTAGGGTCTATTTCCTAATGTAGGTGAACAAAGTGTGAGAGCATGTCCTTCACTTCAATGATGAGGACCCACTATCTTCATATTACTAAGATTTAAGCCGATTACAGAAAAAGCCAATATAACAGTGACTTTAAAAAGATAGAAAGGTATTTCTCTCTCATACACAAAACTGGGTAGGTGACCCAGAGGGGCATGACTGTGCCTAGTCTCTTCAGTCTTATTGCAGAATGCACTGTTCAGCTTCCATCTTGTTGACCCACAATGGTTCCCACTAGCTGCTACCATCTCATTCTTATTGCAATCAACAGGAAAGTAGAATGGGAGAGGTGAGTGTGTGCTCCTCCTCCTCTGAGGGCAAAACTCAGAAGTGGCACATGTACTTCCACTAACATTCCATTGACCAGAATTAGAGACACAACTGTCTGGAACCACAACAAATGCTTCCAGAATGAGGGTCTATAATCATTGGGGATCTTTATAAAAATACAGATTTATGAATTTCATCCTGAGAGGTCCATTTCAGTAGATCAGAAAGCAGGTAGCTAAATCAGTTTTTGCGAGTAAAATTCCAGGGGCCATATTGTTCCATTTAGTAACAGAAACATCTAGAAAAACAGCTACAGTTTGAGTCATCACCAGACTAAGTTTATTGTGAGGGATATTGTGATGCACTGCTCAGATTCCCCTTCAGAAAAACAGGGTTCATTCCACAGCTGCTGAGAGTGCTGCCAGAAGACTGCTTTCAGTTGTCAGCCTCCTTAGGGGTTTGCCTCAGCTAAAGACAGACACGTCTCCCACTGATATGTCCACTTTCTGGAGAAAAAAGGGGGCATCAAGTGAATGGTAGGGGAAAGTGGAAAGGCTGAGCACTCTCTCCCCAACTTGGTCTACGAATTCTTTACTCAGTAAGTTGCTGGGGCTTTCACTGAAGATGCACGATGCCTTGACTTCTCCCTCCTCCCAATCTTGTTTCCTTCCTTCTCTTCCACAAATTTGGATTCCAATAACACTTTATAACGAACCTGCTGCATGTAAATCTCCATCTTAGAATCTGCTCCTAGGGAGCACAACCTGTGCTGCTTATAGGAATTTAACATCATTCTCTAGAGTCCATCAATTATTTGTAGCATTCAAGTCTGAGAATTTAACGGGGAAGGTAGAGAAAGCGGCCTACCTATGTCTTTCAAGTCTTTGATGGTGGCTTCGAAATGAACTAAATTGTGTGAAGCCTCCTCTACTACCCTATCTCTCATTCCCTTTCCCCCTTCGGTTGTACAAATAAAAAATATTTACTTTTCTATATGCCAATGAGACTATTTTAATAGGCTCAAAAGACAACTGATCCTACTGTAAAATTGATGACAAGGAGTAAAGTTGATTACTGACACTCAAAATATAGAACTGTAATTTTGTCGAAACACTTTGAAAACTCAATATTTCTGACTATTCTATCTTTTTCTCTGCCTATAATCCACTCCCCATATACTAGTCACTCTCTTTTCATCATCTGCCTTTTTCTACAGTTGGTAGCCCTATATATACTTTTAATTACAGTTATTGTTAACAT